AAAAGACCCCACCAAATTGGTGAATTTTTGTGTAGCCATTTTAATATCGAAATGGAAGAAAATAAGGGCCATTTTAATATCGAAGATGGCATATTATGTTTTATTATTTCAAGCAAGGTAAAAATGCAACTGGAATGCAAATAAAGATTTGTGCAGTATGTGAAGAAGGTGCTGTGACTGATCTGAACATGTTAAAAGTGGTTTGTGAAGTTTTGTGCTGGAGATTTCTCTCTGAACTATGCTCCATGGTTGGGTAGAGCAGTTGAAGTTGATAGTGATCAAGCCAAGATACTAAGTGAGAACAATCAGCATTATACCACACAGAAGATAGCTAACATTCTCAAAATATCCAAATCAGTAAAGTTATTGTTGAAAATGAAAAATGTGTCTTTTATTGTATTTTACAGAAAGAAACTAAATAAACTTTTTTGCCAACCCAGTTGATAGGTATTTAAGGTGAAGACTTGATTAAGACAGAATTATAAGGTGTGTGGCTGCTTGTGTGCTTCAGTTTCATCTGACTTTAACTTTTAAACTCTAGCCGCTCAAAGTTTACATGAGCTTAAGTTTATATCAGGGATGATGAAGAAAGTGTTGAAACTCGGGATTCATTATTCATTCACTTGTTCAACAAATAGCTATTGACTGTCTTCAAAACACAAGGCTAGAGGAACACGCAGGCGAATAAAGATGTGGGTATGGCACACAGAAGAAGAACTTGCGCTCTGGTCTCAGCACAAAAAGCAGAAAATAAAGTGTTTCATGAAAGGGGAGAGGAAAAGAGCTGTGGGAATGAAGAGGAAGCAAGCAGTCTTTTTCGTTTATGCTGATGAAGTACGGATTTGAAGAGGAGGTGACATTTGAAGTAGACATGAGGTTGAATGGTTTGGACCTGACTGTGAGAAGACATGCTAATATATAGCAAATGAAACAACATGAATAAAGATAGGGCGACAGATCAAACAACTTAGTTTGGCTTCGGAACAGGTCATTTAATGGAAAGTTTTTACTGTGAGGCTGATTCATTTAGACTGTTATATAGGTCAGGAAGGGTAAACTCTGGTCTGGCCCAGTGCCTGTTTTTACTGTAAGTAGTTTTATTGGAACACAGCTATGCCTGTTTGCTTATGTGTTTCCCGTAGCTATTTCTGTGTCACGACAGCAGAGTTGAGTCCTTGCATTAGGGACCACATAGCCCATTGAGAACCACGGATCCAGTCTGGGGACTGGCACAGAATGGTTTTCAGGAGAGGTTGCAGTCCTTATTAGTGAAGTAGGAGATGGTAATGTGGACGCTTTTTGAAGTAAGCTGGTCTAGGGTCTTCTAGTGGGAGTGGAGAGGAATTGAACACTGAATACATTAAGTGCATGGAATCAATATAATTTGGCAAGATTTGATGAGAGGAGACCATGGAAAAGGTTGATCAAGGTTGCCTGAAAGATTTGCAGTTTGGATGACTGCATGGTTACTGTTGCCATGGAAACAGGGAAGTCCTAAGGACAGATGGTCATAAAAGTTTCAGTGACCTGTGGGAGATAGAATACTGACCAATATGGGGGAGAGCTCAGCCACAGGAGGTGGGACCCCAGGGGTTCTGCGGGATCCAGAATATTTACCAGTGAACTGCAGAAAGTTTTATTTTGTTCTTCATATTAGATGGACTAAGTTCCTATGAGAATTATTTTTATGACCTTTATGCATAAAAAAAAACTATTTGGGTTTTTGTTTTCAAAGTAACTTTAAGTAGGAAAACTTTGAAGAGTTTTAAATTGATGCTAGTAAATTTTCTGAAGTACCTAAACACAGAAATAACAACAGCACTATAATAAAACGGAAATATTTTAGCAACCTTAAAAAAATCAAATTCTCACTTGAATTATATGAAGGACATTTTTGCCTTCACAGTTTGCTTTAAAAACACCACTTTTTGTTAGGCAGGTAATGCATTCTTATGAAATGCTCAATTATAAAAGTAAAAGTTGCAACAACTTCTCTTTTTTAGGCCACTGACTTCTGGTAATAGTTTGAAATACACTGACTGTGTAGATACTGTGTCCTTCACTAGGCTTACAAAGACAGAGAATGATCATTTCCCAAATAGGCTTTTATAACTTTGAACGTGGTGCTACCTGCAACATTTTTAAATCAGTTCGGCTCCAGTCTCCAATCTTATGATTTCCGGACACAATCGGCTCCTCTTTCGGTCTCCGGACGACGTGTCAGGGTTCCGTTGCAGCCTGTCCAGCAGTCCCAGCCTCAGACGGTTTGGTTTATTTGCCTTGCTGCTGTGCCAGCTCAATTACCCATAAAACTGGTCTTACTTCCTAATCTTCAGTATTAAAAATTATGTCAACAACTAGTAGTCTTGAGGAAAATACTCTTGTTAGAAAAGATAAGATTATCTTAGGCAGAATTTGGAAGTGGTCATACTGAAGAAATCACTTCTAAGAAAAACAGAAACTTGATATATTTATGTAAATACTGTGTTTTGAAGTCAGATTAATTCAGTCTTTTATGTCAACAGTCAGAGAAGCCCCGATCGGGTGACTCTGTTGGTTGGAGTGTCATCCTGTACACTGAAAGGTTGCAGGTTCGAGTACTGGTCAGGACACATACCTAGTTTGTAGGTTCCAGCCCCGATCAGGGCTCCTGCAGGAGGCAGCCCATAGATGTTTCTCTCTCACATCTGTGCTTCTCTTTATCTCTCTCTGTGTCCTCCCCCACCCCTCCCGTCTCTCTCAGATCAATAGAAGCATGTCCTTGGGTGAGCGTTCAAAAAAACCCAACAACAAAAAAAGGGGAAATTAGTTTGAGGTTTTAGTTAGAACACATTTATTCTGACTTAAAGTTTATCTTAAAATGTGTATCTGGCTAAAAATAAAATTATTTTAAATTACAAATGAGTGTAAACTCAAAGGGGACTTTTTTCTTGCCTCTCCTTTTACTTCAGTACCTTTCTTCTAATAATAAGGGTATTAATTTTTGTTAACTTTATTGTTTTAATATATTGTTCATTTTTATTTATTTTTATAGTAATTTAATAAGATAGGTACAACTTTCTCTTCCATTTTATACGTAAAGAACTAACAGATAAGAATTTAAGTAACTGGCTTATCTAAGGTTACATAGATAGCAAGTGGCAGAGCTGGGATTAGAACCCGTCCAGCAGACTTCAAATTGTGTATCACAAGTCACTTTATGATTACATTTTAATAGTACTAATAGTTTCTTGCCTGTTGGTCCTGAAATAAAGAAGACACTATTTACCAAAACGTAAATACATATAAATGTTTTAATTTTGAATTGCTATTTTTCTGTAACTGAAATATAGATGGTAACATTTAAATCATTTAGAATAATTTTAAGTAGAATTTAATTCAAAATAAAAAGGAATAGTCAATGCCTCTGATCCCAGCCCTATTTTTACTATTGAAGAAAAAAATGGCTAGGCATAATCACTACATTTCGTTGCACATTAACAACATTTTATCCTCACTTTTTTTTAAATTCAGAAGTGGACTATCTGGTGAGGGTGTGTATGGCAAGTATTTTGTAAGGTCTGGTTCACCATGAAGGGGAAAGCGAGAGAGAGAGGAAGCGGAAGGCAGGCGATTTCCGTTTTAAAGCACCTGGAGATTATGGGAGCACAGCAGTTCCATTCACAGTTCATTGGACAGACGTAGCCATGTGGCCATAGCTAGCTTCAGAGTAGTCTTTAGCAGGATGGCCACATGTGCAGGTAACACCAGAGATTCTGTTATTAGAATAAAGGCCTGAGAATGTACACGTTGTGGGCTGGGGTACCTGCATCTCTGCCACAAGTATTAATACAATGTAAACTTACACTATTCTTGTTAAAGGAATTTTAAACAATTTTATGGAGTTTCTACTCTTATAGAGATGAGAAATTGTAAATTTCTTGTTAAGGCAGTTCATATATAGAAAGTTATTAAATGTTGCTTAATGTTTCACTACTATCCTTGCATATTAACAAGCTCCTGGAGAGCAAGTCTGGCTGGGAGGGGCCTGTGGAGCAGACTTCCTGCTGGTCCATGAGCAGTCACGGCAGTTCCTCTGCACTGTTGATGTGAGGAAGACCTGGTGCTGAATTCAGGATTCAGGAGCAGTAGTTCATTTTATTGTTTGTTATCTGGGGTGTTGAATTATTGCATTATCATATTTGAAAATCTTTGACCTTGAGGTACTCTGATGCAAAAAACAAAAACAAAACAACCCCCAGCTCTCCCCCCAAAAAAACGATGCAGAAGAATTTTTGGTTGTAGCAAGAATGTAGAACTTATTGCAGAATGCAAATATATTAGGTACTGGCTTTTATAATTATATTTTGTTAAGTCGTTGTGATTCTGTGAATAGACTATGAGGGATAAAGTTTCTAGAAAGATTAGTGGAACTATAGACATTAAACTAAGGTGTCAATTTTTACATTTTTTAAGTTTTATTGAGCTTTAAAATGATGTACTTGTCCATATACTTTATTTTAGGATTTCAGGCTAAATTGTGATGAAAATATATATAAATATTGATGACACTTTAAGTAGTTGGCCACATTTTTTAAAACAATGAAATCTTCAGACATTATTGTGGATGGTTACAAATTAAATCAAAACATTAGGTGGTTAACAATGGTAACTTCTGTTGAAGATTGTTTCTAGATTGTTATATTAGATAGCAAGTAAGACTTTTAGAATTTTGATAGGTGAATAAGTGATTATTGAAAAAATAGTAAGACTAGTACTGACAAAAATCTGTCTTTTATTTGGACTTAATTTTTCAATGCAATGCAAACACGGATAACTTAATAGAATTTATGTAATTTAAATTGAGGGAATATTGGTGTACTCTAAGTAGTTGGTGTTAATCTCCTGTTGGATTCTGGATTCTGACTTTTATTCGAGACTGCTTCTTGGTTTATGTGCCTCAATTCTAGAAGTCTATTTTGTTTTTGTATTTTAAAACTTTTTTCCCTCTCACTAAACAGCTTTGATGTCATATTTGCTGGTGGTCCAGAAGAAGTTCTGAGAAAGTTCCAGAAGTCAAATCACAAAGTGGTCTTTGCAGCAGATGGGATTTTGTGGCCAGATAAAAGACTGGCAGACAAGTACCCTGTTGTTCACATTGGGAAACGCTACCTGAATTCAGGAGGTAGGTAAGGTACTGACAGAAAAGTGTAATGTAAGTTATAGTAAATTATAAATAATGATGAAACAACCTGGTTTTATATGTATGACTACAGACATGTAGTTTTAAATAACCACTATCTTATTACTCTGAACAAACTTTATCAGTTTAAAACCCACAGTGCATTGTACAGCTGACAAAGCATTTTCTCATACATATTATATCATGTGACGCCCTTAGCAATGCTAAGTGTGCCATTACTTCCGAATTATGAGTGAGAAATCCCACATTCTCCAAATTTAAGTGATTTCTTGAAAAGACATTCAATTGTTAAAGGAAAAGCAATACAGATCTGGATCCCCTGATTATAGTATCATTGAGAATTTTCTGACTATAGGACAGAATTGCATTTAGTAAACTCTTAAGAAAAAGTGTAAGCTATAATCATGTAGCTTTTGAAAAATAGGCGTTAATTTTATCTGTATTTTAAATATATTGGAGTAAATGAGTAATTAGTCTTGAAGTCACTTGTCAAAAAGATTAAACATGCAGCCCTGGCTCAGATGCAGTTGGTTAGAGCACAGTCTCCACACGCCAAGGTTGTGGGTTCCATCCCGACAGGGCACTTACGAGAGCCAACCAGTGAATGTATATATAAGTGGAACAACAAACCTGTGCTTTCTTCTCTTTCCCCTCCCCTCTCCCCGTCTTTCTTGTCCCTACCTTTTCTCTAAAATCAATGAATAAAAAATTCAAAAAAACAAATTCAACATGCACTGTCTGGTATACTTTAAATTGCTGCATTAGCTATGTCACCATGGATTGAAGGGACAACTTGTCACATTGCTTCTCCCCCTTCAAAATATAAAGTTTGACTGGTCATTAATGTGACTCTAAAATGTTCTTTTTAGACTGAGATTAATGTAAACATATGGCCATAAGTTATAATCGAATAGGATGGGGCTGGGAATATGTTAGACAAGCCACTCTGGGAGAACAGATGTTTTTGAGTGATTTACATATGTATTTATACAACTGATACTATTCGGGCTAGTTCAAATAAGTGCTACTTTGCACTGGTTGGTGTGGCTTTGTTGGAGTGTTGTTCTGGAAACAAAAAGGTCACAGGTTTGATTCCTGGTCAGGGCACATACCTAGGTTGTGGGTTCAGTCCCAGCTGGGGCATGTGCAAGAGAAAGCCAGTCAGTGTTTCTCTCTCATATCGATGTTTCTCTCCCTCTTTTTACCTCCCTTCCCTTCTTTTGAGACATCAATACGCATGTCCTCCGGTGCGGATAGACAAAGTAAGGGCTGCTTTACTTAGCAGCGTGTCTGAATTCTAGGCTTTGCTCAGCTGATGACATACCGAAACCTCCTTTATCAAGTGGTTTACAACCTCTGAGATGCCCGAGTTCCAGCTCTGTTCATCTGCACCTTCGCCTAAGTAAATCACTGTTGTAGTTGTACCATGGGACTTTGTCAGGCCATGTAAATAATATTACCCTTCTAAAACCTTAAGTTGCAGTTTGTACTGCCAAGTTTTAGCTCACTTTTTCTCTCCATCTCAATACAATGACATTTCATGGTTTCTGGGATCTCTCGATCATTTTATTTTCTTCTACTCTATCTACCTACCACCTTTGGACTTTACTTTTGTATTCAAGTCAGAATCTAGGGTTTGTCACATTGGTGACTGTGTCCTCATTATCCTAGCAGCCTTTCCCTTAGATTTCCAGTTCTTGAACAGACAGAGCTTCTTCCTAAGAAAACTTCCACTCTTGACTTCTTGTCTGAACACTTGAATGATAGATTGCTGCTTCTGCTTTCAAACTGTCATTAAGTCCTAGATAGTTTAAAAACCATTTAGCTGTGCGACTCTGGTATGCTTTATTTTATATTTATTAATTTTTTTAAACAAAGCATATATAATGAAGTGTGTAAATTAATCTCAATCAGTGCAGAGCACTGTCAACATAGCAAAAAAAAAACCACCAAGTGAGTGCCTTTGTGAGCAAGTTTAGTTAAGCAAAGGGTATTTTTATAAGTGAGAAAAAGATCATAGAAGGAATCAAAACATAACGCTTATGCTTTTTGTAGTGTAATAATTAAAGAGGTGGTAGAAAATCTAAATATGTTCAATAAAAGTTTATGCAATTTCATGAGTGATATATTGACAGTTATTTAAGGAATACATGTTTTGTTTTGGGGTATATCATTTAGTTAAAAAATATGGAAAGTGAGTATGTTTCCTTATAAGGAAAATTTCAGAATATGAGAAACTTTATTGGTTTAAAATAATGTGGTTTAATAGAAAAATATAAATCATATAAAATATATATCACAAACAATGAAAATAGATGTATATTTGCCCACTGGACAATGAAGAGTTAAGGGCACTGGTCCTTGTGCAATCAAAAGTTCATGTATAATTTTTTACTCCCGCCAAGCTTTGGTATCCCTCAGTACCCAAGAGAAATTGGTTCCAGGATCCCCCGCAGATAGCAAAGTCCATGGGTGCTCAAGTCTCATGTAAAATGGCATAAAAGAATGCGTACAGTTGGCCTTCCACATCTGTGGATTCTTAACCTTGGGTCAAAAGTAGCATTTTTGATCTGTAGCTGGTTGAATCCGCAGAATGAAAACCCATGTGTGTAGAGGATTAACTGTGTATTTGTTGGAAAAAAATCTACATCTAAGGAGACCCAGGTAGTTCAAACCCATGTTGTTCAAGGGTCAACTATAATTCCCTTTATTTTTTTAAGGATGTTTGGCATTTATAAAGAAGATAAGAAAACGTAATTTTTGAAAAACAGTAACACAAACTATCGGAAATGTTGTGGTCTACTTGTATATATATATATTTTTTCATCAGAGTAGATTGGTCACAGGATTAAAAATTGCACTTCTCAGTGTTTTCGGATTTTTTTATTTGGCAAAAATAACAAACAGGAGCAACCAGTCATTTCTGTAACCACATTTTTATTTTGTCTTGTTTTTGCTATGTAACAGAAATATTCCTGGACCTATTTTTTTTTATCCTTGTATTTTTATGAGGGAATTTTAATTTTGAGGGTAAAACATTAGGTTTCTCTTTAATTCACAGGAGTAAAATTGGTCTCTTTGAGAAAGTATTGCATGTCAGTGAAACATAGTTTGGCTGCATTTTTAAAACTCAGTGGAAGACTCAAACAAGGGAAAAACGATCCTGTTGTCTGTGTTTTTTATAGACAACTGTTGTTGGCAAACTTAATGCTTATGTTCTCAGGCCAAGGGGAACAATCCAATTTTAGACTTCCTTTTCTCCAAACTATGACACATAAAAGCTAGCCAGAAAATGGTTTAGCAGGTACAATAATGACTAGCTCAAGTAAAGGGAAAATTCCCTAAATGTGCTAGATATAAAATTTCTTTGGGATGTTTACAGTCGGTGACAAATCCAACATTCCTTTGATTGCGTTAGCATCTGGCACCGATGTTAAAATCATTGTAGTAGAGGTTTTCTTTTTTTTGAAACATTGAGCCCTCTATAAAGGAGCCAAGAAGAGCATTTTAGAAGGTCAGAAAGAACATTCTTCTGACTATTCGATTCTTTTACTAGTAACCTGTTTTCCTTAGGAGCCTTGGAAAGTATTATTAGTTCTTTGTCTTGTGTTAGTTAATTTTTGGGTATGTGTTTATGGAAAGAATCTTTAATTTGCAATTGGAATGAAAACTCACTCTATTGTAATTTATATATAAAATCCAAACGACTGTTAATAACTCATTTCTCTCATGTGGAACTGTGATGGTTCCAGCCTAAGGATTAGACCTAAGGGTTTATCAATGTGCAATAGTTTTATGGAATTAATGGAGTTAACATAGAGGTGAGTTTTGGTCTTTGAATACTGAATTCTCTGTTCTCTGTTGTATTGCAGGATTTATTGGTTATGCACCATATATCAACCGTATAGTTCAACAGTGGAATCTACAGGATAATGATGATGATCAACTATTTTACACTAAAATTTACATCGATCCTCTGAAGAGGGTATGTAGTGGCTCCTGCTCCCATTTTTAGTGTAACTGCCTTCTTCTTATTGGCTACTAGAGATTTTGGGCAGTTAGCAGCAGGGTAGTAAATAAGGGACCATCTAATTTTTGTCAACTTTGTTCCCACAATATACTTCCTCACATTTTTCTTTTACTACAACATGTTTATGTGGCCATATATAACATGCAAAGGAAGTGTGTCCTTTATTTCAAGTACATACGTCCTAGAAACCTGAGTCCTATAATTAAGGTGGGGGTGTGGATGACGGGGCCAATACCAGTCTGCCACACTATGCTGCCGTGCTCCAATCCCATGCTGCCTAGAGAGAACATTCTTAAGATTAATTTGAATGAAACTTTGGAGAAATATAAAAGCAGGACTACTGATCAAAATGGCAGCATAGACAGATGTGACTTGCCTCTTTGCACAAATACTCAGAGCCATTGGCAATTGAGTTGAATGGAAGTCTGACAACTATGGAATTAAAGAAACTGCATCCATCCAGACTGGCATGGAATGAGCTGATCCCTCACCCACGTGTGATGGATAAAATTTCAGGAGGGACACCTTGGGAATGAGGAGTCCTAGCCCACATCAGGTCTCCATTCCAGGTTCCAGTGCCAGGAAGGTAAGTCCCCACAACTTGACTGCAAAAACAAGCAGGGATTTTTGTCTGTGGAAGAAACTGCTAGAACCCCAAGAAGTTCCTCATGAAGAACCCTCATACGGATTTACCTACTCAGACTCCTTTGGAGCTCCAGCATATGGGTAGCAGCTTGAAAGATACCAGTGGTATATAAGGAGAAACTGAAGTGTCTGACATCAAGGTGAGCAGAGGCCATTGTCTCTTACCTAACCCATCCCCCCACAGAGCTGGCAGGCTGGTGCCAAATCTGAGACTTTATCAGCCTGGCTGGTCAACGCTATTTGACCTGCCTTGGAGATCACCAGAGACTCTGCCCCACCCAACTTATGTCTCCACCCAAGGTGGTTTTCCATACGAATTTCTGATCTTCCCTGATGTTTCACAACTTCATAAATCATCTCAAACAATCAACAACTGGCCTCAATGAGCCCCAGGCTTGGCACTAGCAGCAGCCAGCCTAGATACATAGCTTGGCTTTGCCTGGAATCTCCAAGTCCAGCATAAGTAGCAGCCATCTCAGGTCGCTTTGTAGCTGAGGTCGGGTGACCCTGGGCAAAACACAGGTGGGGACTGACCTTTCCCTGCTCTAGAAAGAGTGCTAAACAAAATGGAGATAAGCAATCTATCGGATGCAGAGTGCAAACCCCTGCTTATAAGAATGCTCAAGGAACTTAGTGAGGACTTCAGCCGCAAAAAAAAGATCTAGTGAGAAATGAAGGATTCACTCATTGAAATAAAGAAAAATTTACAGGGAAACAATAGTAGAGTGCATGAAGCCAAGAATCAAATCAATAATTTGGAATATAAGGAAGCAAAACAACCAATCAGAGCAGCAAGAAGAAAAAAAATCCAAAAATAATGAGGATAGTATAAGCAGCCTCTGGGACAACTTCAAGAATTCCAACATTTGCATCATGGGGGTGCCAGAAGGAGAAGAGAAAGCTTAAGAAATTGGAAATCTATCTGAGAAAATAGTGAAAGAAAACTTCCCTGATTTGGTGAAGGGAATAGACATGCAAGTCTGGGAAGCAAAGAGAGTCCCAAACAAGGTGGATGCAAAGAGGCCCATTCCAAGACACATCAAAATTAAAATGCCAAAGTTAAAGATAAAGAGAGAATCTTAAAAGAAGTGAGAAAAAAGCATTTAGTTACCTACAAGGGAGTTCCCATAAGACTGTCCTCTGGTTTTGCTATAGAAACTTTGCAGGCTAGAAGGGATAGGCAAGAAGTATTCAAAGTCATGAAAAGCATGTTTTAGGTTTAGTTGTTGATAACTGAGTTCATTGTCATTTTACTGTTTGTAGTTTTGATTTTCTTTTTCTTAGATAAGTCCCTTTAACATTTCATATAATAAGTGCTTAAAAAAAAACAAAGCCAAAAGCAAACTAAGCAAAGAACTGGAACAAGAACAGAATCACAGAAATGGAGATTACATGGTGGGTTATCAGTGGGGCGGGCAAGAGGGGAGAATAGAGGAAGAGGTATAGGGAGGAAGAAGCGTAAATGGTAGGTACAAAATAGGCAGGGGCAGATTAATAATAGAATGGGAAATGGAGAAGCCAAAGAACTTATATGTACGACCCATGGACATGAACTGAGTGGGGGTGATGCTGGAGGGTGGACAGGTAGGGCGGTAGGGTGGTAGGGCGGAGGGGAATAAAGGGGAGTGAAAAAGTGGGAAAATTGTAACAACATAATTAATAAAATATAATTAAAATAATAAAAATATAAAAAAGGAAAATTCTCTAATTCAACAGTATTTTAATTTACATAACACAAGTTAATATTTCACAAATTTACTACTATATATGACCAGTAGAGTTCTAAATTTACTGAATTGGGTCTTTGTGGGTGCTGTCATTAGGAAACATTGTTTTAGAGTACATTTTATGGTGAATTTGTAACCAAAACTGTCTCTGTTTCTCAGATAAATACTTTAAATAGACCCTTGGTACTTAAGAAACCTGTTCTTAAACTGTTTATGTTCTTCATCTGTGTTTCTCACTTTGCCTCTTGTGCCTGGCGTGTCGGGCCTGAGGGCTTGCCTCTCACCTGGAGAAGATGCCTCCGCCCGGCAGGAGTGCTCGCCCAGGCGGCACGGTGCTCACCTTGCCTTGGTGTAATTCACCTGGGAAAGTGCTTTGAGGCTTACGTAGTTGTCTGTAGGTTTGTGATATTTTTGGTTGTCTAAATCCTGTTTAAGTTTCCCTCTAACCTAAGATTGTTATCTGGTTAGCATGTCCTAGTATGCTGCGATTACCATTACATGATACCACTGACTGCCCACTGTTAAACAACAGAAATTTTATTTCTCACAATTCTGGGGTCTAGAAGTCTGAGATAAAGTTGCTGGCATGGTCAGTTTCTGGTGAGAACTCTCTTCCTGGCTCGAAGATGTCCATCTTCCTGCCATGTCCTCACATGGGGGGAGATAAACAGAGGGCGAGAAAGAGCCAGCACTTGTGTGCCCAAACTCTCCTATTTCTTCTTGTAAGGACAAAATTTCCACGTGAGGGCCCCACTGTCATGACCTGAATTAACCCTCATTATCTACCAATGGCCCCCACTACAAATATCTTCACAGTGGGGTTAGGACTTCCACATATGAATTTTGCAGGGATACAGATATTCAGTTCATAACAGCATGCAAATATAATTTTAGGAATATTATTTAAGTGACAGAACAATGTGGCTGAAAAACTGATGCATTGAGAATCATAAGGTTTGTAAAGCAGATTAATCTTTATGATTGAATTGATTAATTACCAACCTATTGTGGCATTCAGGCAGTTTAGGCTGTAGTAACAACCCCCAGGCTCAGTAGCTTAACACAACAGGGGTTTACATCTTCTGTTACAAGTCCGTTATCAGTCATCAGGGTGTGTCTGCTTATTGTAGTCCCTTTGGGGCCCTGGCTGGTGGAGCAGCCATCTCCAACCTTACTGCCTCATGTGCCAGGCAGAGGGAGCACACTTAGGGTCTCGAACTGGTAATGACATCTCTAGGTTGGAAGTGATTTATTTTAATTCTGCTAACAATTTCACTGGTTAGAATTAGTCAGAAGGTGGAGAACTGGAAATACTTGAAGAGAACAGCATGAATGCTTTCCCATACTTTCTGTCCTTTAATCAGCTAAACAATTACAGTCTTTCTGAGGGATACTGCTGGAATAATTTACACAAGGTATTTAAAAAAAATCAAGGAAAAAACTACATTAACATGATAGTATTGTTTGTTGTTTTTGTTGTCATTTATAATACTATCTTTGCTCTTATTTTAGGAAGCTTTTAACATCACATTGGATCACAAATGCAGAATTTTCCAGGCTTTGAATGGAGCTGTAGGTATGCTTCCTAAACACTGGATTGCTCGTGTATTCACAGGGACCCCTGTGTTTTCAACTGTCTGCCTTTTGTTATATTTTGGGGCTATGACTAAAGTTTATCGGTAGATATTGCAACTTAAAAAAGATTTTATTTCTTTATTTTTTAGAGAGAGAGGAAGGGAGGGAGAAAGAGAGGGAAAGAAACACCAGTGTGTGGTTGCCCCTCCTACTCCTCTTACTCAGGGACCTGACCTGCAACCCAGGCATGTGCCCTGACTGGGAATTGAACTGCCAGTGCTTTGCTTCGAAGTCCAGCGCTCAGTCCACTGAGTCACACCAGCCAGGGCAGATACCGCAACTTTTAAAAAATATTGGACTTGAGCTTATTAATATAGTTAAATACACTTCGTTAAAATCATTGGTACTAGTGCAAAAAGGTTTAGCTTCTGGTCTTAGGTAACTTAGAATTCAGTATCTCATCATCTGGGGACTATAGATGTATTTCTAAATTAATTACACCTTATTGTTATATATGTTTCATTATAAGTTCTCTGTATTGAGAATTACTCTGGAATAGTGGAGTATGAGAGTATTTTTACCTAGTTGAAATGTACCTGGTAACTAGGCACTTTCACTGTGGAGGGTATGTCTGTGTGTGCATCCTTACATGCCTGCACACACGTGTACTTATGTGTTTACCTAAATAGACATATATCTTGATAAAATATATTAATATATTGAAATTGATCAATACATTAAAAGTCAACATACATTAATTTGTTAATGCATCATGCTTTAAAATTAAAAACTACATTGCAATTCAATACAATTCCTCTAGGCAGTACATAGGAGAACAGAATTTTCAGAATGGAAAGAATTTAGGGGGAGTGCTCAGGAAATGTGAGGGAAGAAACCTGAAAACAAAAAAACAAACAAAAAACCTTTCTACTCCCATCTGACTTGTACATATTTTTGGAATTTACATTAAGCCTAATTTTCAAGAACTAGAAACTTTGTTTATTGTTCCTGGTAGTGTTCTGTTTGCTGTACATATATTGTTATCGTCATCATAATTTGAAAAGCAGGCAAGGATCCCATTTTACTGATGAGTAAATTGAGACTGTAATTTAACTCTTTTAGAATCGCATCACTATCAAGGGGCGGAGGCAGGATGGCAGAAAGCCTCTCCCTCCTCCCGCCGGACACCTCGGGAGCCTAGCACCTCAGTTTGCTGATGCCAGATTGGAGCAAGTGAAGTGCTCAGAATCTGATTCTGTCCTTTGGGGGTCTGCTGACTAGGAGTAGTCCAAGTTACTGAAAGTGTTACAGCACACGGAATAGCATGCATGAGAAATTTTAAAACAAGACTATATGTATGTATGTATATATGAATAGACACTCACATTTTAAATGACCAAAACCTGTTTTTCTCTTTAACTTAGATGAAGTTGTTTTGAAATTTGAAAATGGCAAAGCCAGAGCTAAGAATGTATTTTACGAAACATTACCAGTGGCAATTAATGGAAATGGACCCACCAAGGTGACTCACAGTGGCTTTTCCCCGTTTTCTTACTTCTTGGAGATAAACTATGGAGCAATATGAAGGATATCTTCTCTTTTTAAAATATCTTTGAGAGGCTTTATTTCGGTACCAGCAATTTACTGACATTATCTTTTACACAGTGTATGATATGGTTTCATTCTGATTAGCTGATGATTTTTTTCTCAGCAGAGTGATAACTTTTTATTCCATTTGTAACACCTTTCACTTTAGTAATAACAGCTAACTGGAGAGTGAGCCACATTTCCTTCATATAGACTATCTTCTGAATATGAATGTTTGAAGTTGTTAAGGGATCATTTGTGTCATCTTAGTCCCCATTTTCTAAATTAACTCTAAATCTTAGCTCTGCTAAGATTGGACAGAAGCTTCCTCTTGCACTTATTTTTTGCCCGGGTTATAGTTGACAAACATAACCTTGACTAATGACATTTTGGATGCTTTTCAGATATATGTATTTGAGCTTGCTGAAAATATTATTGACTGCTAATTTATAGATAAGTTGGTAAAGTTTGTGTTGCTGGTATCCAATTAAAATGGAACATGAATTCTGTGTGTGTGTGTGTATGTGTGTATATATATATGTGTGTGTGTATATATGTATATATATACACACACATACACACACATATATACAGCATATGTATGTATACACATATATACACACATTGTTTAAGTTTATGTTTGTGTGTGTGTATATGCTTAAAACTGTGTTCTGAGGTACTGCGTTGACTGGTTTACTCAAGTATCTGGAAAAGAGATTACAGATAGCTTTGCATTGTGGAAGACAAGACGGGGAGGTGTGTGCTTTCTCAGGGAAGTGAGTAAGTAGTCTGAATTCCAACAGAAGCCATATGCGTGGGAAGAAATTCCAGGGAAAACCCATGTTGGCAGCATTTCCCACGTTGAAATAGAAGTAGGTTCTGCATCTCCTCTAGTTAATCTTTCCGCTTTGCTTTTCGTCCCCTTCTTGCTCTCCCATGATGCTCACTCCTTTCTGTATCTTGCGTCAGTTTCCAGAAGCATTCTCCTTCTCATCAGTATTTCCACACCCTCAATCTCTCCCATCCTCTAAACAAAACAAGACCAAGCCAACACAAACTGTAATCTCCTCCTCGGTTGTCTTACAGCCTGCCTGTCTTCTCCCTTCACAGCCACACTTAATTCAAGTGGAGACAACCTGCTGCCACCGTTGTTCCCCTTTGCACACACCAGGACATGCACCTGCCAGCGTCTTGTGCGTTGTGGCATCTTCACCGAACAGTACACACTCGGCAGCCCGCATTTTTATTTCACCCAAAGATAACTTTTCACATTGTTGACCCCGTTCGGTCCCACTTTAAATCCTATTGTTTCCCTTTTCCGTGATGCTCTGTTGGTTTGTCTACTAATTTTCTATTCAATCTCTGCCTCTCTCTTTTTCTTTTTTTCCTATATATTTTTAAAATCTAACCCTTTGTGTATGTGTTGGGGGGTGTGTGTTTGCGGGCTGGTCTTCCTGTACTGTTTTAGTTAAGTGTTCTGCAAATATCTATCCGAGGCATCTTCCTTTTCTCTTGTATACACATTCTTCAGTAATCTGCTTCATTCCACATCAGCAAATCCTCTCTTAATGCTGATGATTTTTCAGATCCTTGAACTAACTCCTGTTATCTTTCCTGAACTCCAGGTCTGAATGCCTAATTGGTAGATTTATTTGCATGTCATATGAGACCTAGAGGTCAGGACCTTAAGCTCTGCTTCCTCTTTCATCTACGTGATGAACCAAAACCTGAGTTTTCTGTTGGCTGTAGTTGCTTCTCCCTCCCAGACCAGGGGCTGTTCTAACTGCTGCGTATGGTGGTGTATCTAACCCCCCGCCCCCCCGCCCCCCCCATAAACCAAACAACCAACACCCCCTGTGTATTCCAATTTTCCCTCCAAAAGCCCTTTAAAATTTTTCCTTCCCCCCCCCCCCCCAAGACAAAACAAATTTTTTTTTGTTTTTTCCCCCTTTTTAAACCCCCCCAACCCCTTTTTTTTTTAATTTACCTCACAGTCTCTTCTTTATAAAGTTCCCTATTATCCCAAGCCAACATACCACACACAGGACAGTGGCAGAGTTTACCTGTTTTTTGGTCTCTCTTACGTACTAGGCCTTTAGCCTAGGAATTACAGAACTCACACTTGTCCCATTCCCTTTTTGCCTCCCCGGCATTCAGCACAGGTGTAGCCTACATTTGCCTTTACATAAATGGGATTTGAATGTTAGAGTCTAAATAGCATAATGATCTAACATTATTCTTGGGAGTAAGACTTTTACGACTTAAGATGTTAAGACTTTTTTTTCCTGGCAGGACAAAATAATCATAAAATTGCTATGGTTCACTATAACCGTCTTTAGGCAAATTTGGTAAATGGACAGATTTTTGTCTATGCCGCCCTTTCCAGTGTGTGTGTGTGTGTGTGTGTGTGTGTGTGTGTGAGCGTGTGGCAGTTTCTTTTAGCCCTCTCTGATGTCTGGGCGCCCCTGAGGCAAGTGTAAACAGACATCTCCTATGACTAAATACTGTGCTGTTCCTTGTTAGTAATGTAGTGTCTTAATCAAATGTAAACATCTTTAAAGAGGGAGCTCGGTCCTGAGAATTTAGCTATTGTGGGTTCAGTGATTTCAATGTGATTAACAATTCCTTCCAAATTCCCAGGATAATGTGACTGGAGTTTTACAAAGTGACTAATGATTTCTCACAAGAGGATCACCAGTCCTCAATCATTTAGAAAGACTTATATGCACTAAGGAATTTTACAAAACCAGTGCTCTAACCCCTGAGCTGTGGAGCCCTCACCTAACATTAAGGAACTTAAGTTTTCTGGGAAACAGTCTCAGTTTGGGCTGTCACTGATTCTGGAATTGAAACAGTGTGATGATCTTACTGTATTTTCTCTGACATGGTCCTGTCTAGTCTATCTTTCTATGATTTTATTTGACCACAAAACATGAAGTATGGTAAGTCTTTTTATTTGCTACAATATGAAAATTTGAAAAAAGATTATATAAATAAGCATTGAATCACTGCTGATACTTTATTTAATAACATTACATTAAAGTTAAATAGAGGTACATGGATTTATCACACTCTCCCCTGTGTCCAGGCTAATAGGAAAAGAAGACAGGTTACTCTTTAGATATAAACTCTTTTTTTAATCATAAAAGTTGAAAGGATTTTTATATGGGGTTTTATAAGTTAATTTTAGTTATTATTTAGTGAGGAATGAGTATGCCAGTGGTTTTTGTGCCCTAATATTGAACTCACTAATACCGAAGCAGTAATACAGTGGTCCGCCCTTATGTGCAGGGGATATGTTCCAAGACCGCACATGGCTGCCTGAAGCTGCGGTTAACACTGAACCTTATATATAGTGTTTGTTCTTATACGTATATATCTTTTCACTTAAAGAAGCACTTACTGCTTCTCTTTGTCACATACACATTGCCAGCATCACTACTCCTGCACTTTGGGGCCACTATTAAGTAAAATAAGAATTACTTGAACACAACCACTGTGATACCATAACAGTTCACCGGCTAACTGAGAAGGCTACTCAATGACTAACCACCAAGTGACTAGACTGGGGAGGAGCATGAGCAGGTTTGATACCTGGACCAAAGGGATGATTCATGTCCTGTAGGAGTGGGGCAACTTGAGAGTTCATTATGCTACTTGGAACAATGTACAACTTAAAACTTAGGAATGATTATTCTGGAATTTTTCTTTTACCATTTAGGATGGAGGTTGATCAGGGCAACTGAAACGCCAAAGAATTAAACTGTGACCGATGGGGAACTACTGAATACTTGTAATCTGTAAATGATAAATTGTTTGTAGTGTGTTTATAGATTAAAGTATATAAAAATGAGTTTATTTCTTAGTTACTTTCTCTAAATACTATGCTATTATTAGGAAGAACAATTTATAAATAAAAATCACTTAATATCCCATTAACCTCCCATATTGTTTTCATTCATAGCTGTTTTCCATTTTACGTCTTTCAGTATACATTTATGAGCATTCTTATTTTTCATTTGTTTTCATAATGTTTTATAAACAGTTTTGTGTTTTTAAGTAGCCTTTTATTTGAAATATATTTCTGTATTTTATGTAATTTTTGTCCTTATCTAGATAAAATCTAATATAAATCAGTTTTTAGATAGAAACTATGATTTCTGACTTAAAGCTTTACGTTTTATTCTTGAAGCTCATTTATTGTTAGTAATACATCATAAGATACTTTTTTAAAAATAAGTTGATTATTTTATTGAGGCCATTTCAGTCTGCTTCTTATATTTTTAATAAAGATTATATATTATTTATTTTTAGAGAGAGGGAAAGGGAGGGAGAAAGAGAGGAAGAGAAACATCAGTGTGTGGTTGCCTCTTGTGTACCCCCTACCAGGGACCTGTCCTGTAGCCCGGGCATGTGCCCTGACTGGGAATTGAACTGGTGACCCTTTGGTTCACAGGATGGCACTCAATCCACTGAACCACACCAGCCAGGGCTTCATTTTTTTTTTTAAGATGCATTTTTGGACAACTTTTGTAAGAGTTTATTTGAGCCAAACTGATGACATAAGCCAGGCAGCAAGATCTCACATGCTCCTCAGATGTTTATTTTATTATGAATGGGGGAAGATATTTTCTACCAACAGCTCTGACAAGGGGTTAATATCCAAAATATATAAAGAATGCACACAGCTCACCACCAAACAAGCAATCCAATTTAAAAAATGGGCAGAGGCACTTCTCTCAAGAAGACATACAAATGAGCAATAGATACATGCAGATGTATTCAGCTTCACTGGCTATTAGGGAAATGCTAATCACAACCACAATGAGATATCACCTCACACCTGTTGGAATGTCTGTTATTAATAAGACATGTAATAACAAGTGTTGGAGAGGTTGTGGAGAAAAAAGGAACATTTATTCACTGATGGTGGGAATGTAAACTGGTGCAGCCATCATGGAAAACAGTGTGGAGGTTCCTCAAAACATTAAGAATAGAGTTATCAGATGACTCTTCTTGGTATCTACATGAAAAATTTCAAATAATTTATTCATAAAGATATATGCACCCTTCCGTTTGTTGCATCATTCCTATTTTCAACAACCCAAGTGCCCATTGATAGATGACTGGATTAAGATGTGGCCCCTGTATACACAGATTGCTACTGAGCCATAAGAAAAGATGAAATACCCAACCGTTTCTTTTAAATATCAGATAATATACATCTTAAAGTAATCATTACAAAAGCGGTGGCATTTTTGTACAAACAGAAGTTTAACAGAACAAGATCATGTCACCTAATTTGCACATGAAAATAAGTCACTTCTGAAACTATTTATATTTGCAATAAAAATTTATTTTATTGCATAAAAATGATCATGCTTGGGTTAATATGACCTTGAATAATTGAATGATTTGGGGAAAAAAAAAGAAAGGATTGAGTTGGAAAAGCTTCTTTGCCAATGAAATGACATTATACTTGGCAACAGCTCGATATTGTGAAAGGAGAATCAGGAGAGGACTGCCACCTCGTAGCTAGGGCCTTCCCAGAGCAGCCTAAATACATAAACAGTTGCTGCACTTTCCAAAGCTGCCAGCATAAATGTCTGGTTTTTAATGAAGAAAACAGAGGTAAAGCGAAGGCTGCAGTAGTGATTACCTCTGCCCATGTGGTGAGAAATCCAAGAGGGAGGTTTGCAGGCAAAAGTAGAAAGGTTATGAAATAAAGTTTAGATTTTGAGAACTAAAGATAACATCTTTTATGCTCAGACTTTTTCAAAAAATAATGGCTCATTTTCATATTCACATTGGGAATCTAATAGACCCATCAATAATTCATGAAATAAATATTTAATGTTTTTTGAGATTTCTGAGCCAAGTATATGTAGATGGGAATTTTAGATATGGCCAGCTGTTTGGGGGATTTTCTTCTTACTTAAAAAAAAAATTCCTTCCCAGGATGTTTTAAACAAAACTGTATCTCCCACTAGCCTTGAAAATCTCTTTCACACATAATACTAAATAAAGAATTTATTTTCACATGAGTCACTTTATTTTCTTCCTTCAAAACCATAATTTTGTACAGAACATGAATGATTAAATTAATGTTTGTGTCTGTGTTTTGACAACAGCCAAATAAGTATTTTTTGTTATAGAGGCACATTAAACTGATCACGCGGACTCTTGAAATGTCATTAGCAAATGCCAGAACTACATGTTTCCTGCCTTGTAATTCATTTCCTGAAATGTCATGTAGTTCATAAGAAATGTGAATGAGTCTGTTGCTGTTCATGTCATCTGTGTGCTGTGCAGATTGAATGCAACTAGGTCTGCCGAATCTAACAGAGATTGTCCCACTGTAATGAATACTGTATGTGTCTTAACAGCATGTTTTAGTTTCAGTTCAGTAGAAATAGTTGGATGGAATCTCAAATATTTTGTAGGATTTTTGTAGGATGGTACTGAACTAATTACCTCAATTGTTCTATCCCTTAAGATGTTTTCTATGGTCTTAGGAAGCTAGAAAAGTTTACTTGGCAGTTCTGTATGTTTTTGACCACCGCCTTTTTCTTTTGAGTCCATCTCATCTTTCCAGTCAGAAGTCAATGATGTATAGCATAACAAGGATTTTAGGTGCTTCCTGTTAAAAGTAAAGTCACAGCCAAAGCTAGTTTGCTGCAGTTCCGCTGTCTTGAAGTGAAGTACTTTGTGAAAAGAAATAGTAAAATAAAAATCTGCAGGTGTTCATACCACTATAAGTATTAGTATTGCAGTAGAAAGTGCAGTAGTTTTATTCAAGTAAATTGGAAGAATTTTGCCTAAGATCTTCAAATCTATGGATATTGAAGTTTTGTCTGAGGTCTGAGAACATATTTTAGTGTGTTTATGTGTTTTTCCCATCCATCTTCTCTCACCCGCTCCCTCATCCAGAACACACAAGGATACAGACGTTGTAGAAAAAAGGAATGCCAGCCAGTAGGTGCTTAAGGAGTGCGGGGGAGGGTGAGCCACAAAGGAGATGCTCCGCTAGGTCTGAAAGGGAAGAAGTATTGTATTTGAGCTTATTGTTGATAGGATCTCTGAGGTGGCTGTAATTAATTAGCTGTTTATTTTAGATCTGTCCTGATTTGCAAGCTTTCTTTTCCTGAAACCAGTGCCCCAGAAGCCGAGTTTATAGTAGACAGCATATTTTAGTGCCTTTGGTAATAAATTTTATAGTGTTTGCTTTGTGTGGTGATGGTTGGTAAGAGGCCACCCTGACATTGCTCCAATTTGCTGTCGCTGACTGTGCTGATCCTTCTAAACATCCATCTTATTACCAACTTACTCTTCACATGACTGCTCTTATTTGTGGTGTTTTTCTGATAAGTCTCATTAGCCCACTAAAACTGTTGTTTCCTTGTTTGACATATTTCTTTAATTGTGTCTCTTCTGGTATCATTTCTTATATAATAAATTAAATGACATTTATGGTATATCAAGCATTTTTGGCATTTCTAGACAGAGTTTGACCTGCTTTATAATTCATTGTCTAGAGATAATGTTGTTCAGTATGTACCTCCAAGTGATAAATATTAATAGAATTGTTAAAAGGAATCTACCGAGTTGGATGTACCAGCTACATGGAATGAAAGTACCTTGAAAGCAGAGGATAACTTTTGTTAACACAGTTCTTCTTCATTTACTAGATTCTCCTGAATTATTTTGGGAACTATGTGCCTAATGCATGGACACAGGACAAAGGCTGCACTTTCTGTGAACTAGATACAATTGACTTGTCTGCAGTAAATGTAAGTGGAATTGACTGGGTGAAATGTAATGAGAAAAAAAGATGTTGCCATGAAATATAGTGATTTGTAAAAAAAGGGGGGAGGCATGTTATTGTATAGTTTTGATAAGTATTATGGATTTATAAAGCTAAAATATAATTAAGAAAATTGGTAGATATATGTATATCTGAACTGTTTTTGAAAGCAAAGCCAACTAATAATTGAATCCAGTAAAAGGGGTTTGGTTGTTAATATTTAATAATGTGCTATGATTGGGTATTCTTGCTTAATTTTAGTCTGCTAACTTGGTAAAAGCATTGAGGAAAAAATAGTTACAGTGCTTCAGCATTTTTATTGACTCATTTTATTTGTGTTTGATTTCAAATTTGATTTAAAAATAATATACTATTGTATAACTAAGGACTATTTCAAGAATTTTACATATAGCAATTTATTTAAACTGCATAACATTTTTTCAGTAGATAGTACTATTGACTGTGTTTTATGATGAGAAAAATGAAGTATATATACGTTAAGTAACTTGCTTAAGGGCACATAATATTTTTGTGTTGGAGGTGGGCTTTAAATTTAGGCAGTCTGATTTCAGGTCCTATATTCTTGATCACTGTGCAATTTTGCCTGAATGTCATATACATCATATATGCCAGGCACATTGTTACTTATATACATAGGGTGAGGCAAAAGTAGGTTTACAGTTGTTTGTATGGAATATGAAGCAACCCTGGCTGGTGTGGCTCAGTGGGTTGAGCTTGGGCCTGTGAAGCAAAGGGTTGCTGTTTTAATTTCAAGTCAGGGCACAGTAGGGGGCCAGGTCACCAGTAGGGGGCATGTGAGAGCCAATCACAAATTGATGTTTCTCTCCCTCTCTTTCTCCCTTCCTTCCCCTCTAAAAAATTAAATAAAATCTTTAAAATAAAAAAGACAATGAAGCAATAATTAATATATAACAATACAAGAATATATTCTGCCTCACATAGTTAGAACTGTAAGCCTACCTTTGCCTTACCTTGTAGATATTTTATAGAGAATTATACTATAGTTTATCAGTTACACTTTTAGGGTAAATGATCAATTGGAAATACATTTTTATGAATTCTTCTGTCAGTACCAGTGCAGTTTTAAGATGCTCTATAGTGTCAGTTCTCTTCCAAAAATTTTGTCTTGTGACTTGGAAGTTTATTATGTATGTGGGTTCTAGGGATGGTTTTGGTCATTAAGGTTGATTACTCCCTTCATTCACTATAAGCTTATTGAGTATCTACAGAATGCCAGATAAGTAGAATGAATAAATAGATGGAAATAAAGTTTGCAGTAGCTCCTAAACCCATGCAAATGCAAAACACTCTCACTGTAAAATATTACCAACTTCTGTTCATATAATTGTATGAAAGGAGAATAAAGATTAACTTGTGCACAGTTAGGAGCTTTTAGTTTTTTTTATTTTTTATTTTTCCTTGAGTAGTTTTCTTTTTTAAAATTTAATTTATTGGGATAACATTAGCTATTAAAATTATATAGGTTTATTTTATGATACACTATCTATATATTGCATTTTTTGTTACCACCAAAGTAAAATCTTTCATCACCATATGAAAGTTCAAGCAAGGAACTTTCATTTCTTTTTTTAAATGTTGCTTATTACAAGGACTGACAGATATTTCAGAAGTTGACATGCAATGAATGAAAGATAAACTGTCCTCTAAAACATAATTGGAGTATTGGAGAAAATATTTAAAAATAAGTATAACAAGATAAAATGTGTTAGTGAAAGAAAATAGCTTTTTTTTGGTCAAGATGGAAATGTAGGTAGATACACTTTGCCTCCTCACACAGCCAAAAGAAGGACAACAACTGATTTAAAAACAAAAATAAACCAGAACTGCTTGAAAATTGAACTGTATGGAAGTCTAACAACCAAGGAGTTCAAGAAGAAACAACATCCAGACTGGTAGGAGGGGCAGAGAGGAGCAGAGATGGGCAGCCGGGGCAGGGAGGATGTGCAGCAAGGTGGCAGCTGGTGGGCAGTCCCACATTCTCATGTGATGTGGATAAACTGAGAGGAACAGCTGGGGAGTGAGGATTCCAATGCAGGGAAAGAGAGCCTCAAAACCTTTGGCTGTAAAAATCTGTAGGGGTTGTGGCAGAAGAAACTCCCAGCCTCACAGGAGAGTTCATTGGAGGAGTCCATAGTGTCCTAGAATGTACACAAACCCACCCACCTGGGAATCAGCACCAGAAGGGCCCGATTTGCTTGTGAGTAGTGGGAAAAGTTACTGAAAGTAGGGTGAGAGCTAATCTAGTGGCATCGTTCCTTCTCAGACCCTTCCCCCAAAGATAGCACCACAACACAGTGAAGTGGGTTGCCCTACTCTGGCAAATACCTAAGGCCTTACAACTTAACAACTTACAAGTTGTTACACTCCCTTACAACTTAACAGGTATGCCAAGACAAAGAAATATAGCCCAAATGAAAAAACAGATCAAAGCTCCAAAAATAGAACTAAGTGATGAGGAGGTAGCCAACCTATCAGATGCAGAATTTAAAACACTGATAATCAGGATGCTCACAGAAATGACCGAGTACAGACACAAAAGAAAGGAAGAAGTGAAGGCTTGCAAAGTGAAATAAAGAAAAATATACAGGAAACCAACTATGAAGGGAAAAAAATTGGGACTCAGATAATGATTTGGAACGTAAGGAAGAAGTAAACATTCAAATGGAACAGAATGAAGAAACAAGAACTCAGAAAAATGAGGAGAGGCTTAGGAGCCTCTGAGACAACTTTAAACATTACAACATCCAAATCATAGAGGTGCAAGAAGGAGAAGAGGAAGAGCAAGAAGTTGAAAGCTTTTTGAAAAAAGTAATGAAGGAGAGCTTCCCTAATCTGGCATAGGAAATAGACTTCCAGGAAGTCCAGGAAGCTCAGAGAGTCCCAGAGAATTTGGACTCAAGGAGGGACACACCAAGACACATTATAATTAAATTACAAGATTAAAGATAAGAGAATCTCAAAAGCAGTAGGAGGAAAGGAGACAGTTACAAAAGAATTCCCATAAGACTGTCAGCTGACTTCTCGAAAGATTCCTTGCAGGCAAGAAGGGGCTGGAAAGAAGTATGGAAATCATAAATGGGAAGGGCCTACATCCAAGATTATTCTATCCAGCAAAGCTGTCATTTAGAACGGGAGGGCAGATAAAGTGCTTCCCAGATGAGGTCAAGTTAAAGGAGTTCATCATCACCAAGCCCTTATTATGTGAAATGTTAAAGGGACTTATCTAAGAAAAAGAAGATCAAAAACATGAACAGTAAAATGACAAATAACTATCAACAACTGAAATTAAAAAACAAAAACAAACTAAGCAAACAACTAGAACAGGAATGGAATCATAGAAATGGAGATCACATGGAGGGTTATCAATGGAGAGGGGGAATGGGGAGAAAGGGAGCAAAGTACAGGAAATAAGGACCATAAATGGCAGGTACAAAAGAGACGGGGAGGTTCAGAATCATAGAAAGTGGAGAAACCGAAGTTCATGTCCATTCCATGGGTATGAACTAAGAGGGGCAGTGCTGGAGGGAGGGGGGTGCAGGGCTGAGGGGAATAAAAGGGAGAAAGAATATGGGACTACTGTAATAGCATAATCAATGAAATATACTTATAAAAGAAAATAGCTTCTCTATATATGATATAATGAACCAAAATAATTTATTTTACTTTACCGTAATATTATACATAGGAAAATTAGATTATACATAATAAAATGAGATTAAAGGAAGCATCCAAGGATAGAAATAAAGGCTTAAGACCTCCTTAATTTCTTTATTTGAGCTTCAAATTAACCACCAAACTTCTAAGTCATGGGAACAAAATGGGAAACAAAATTAACATTCTAATTTTAGATGAACCTGTGAAAATAGATTTAGATCTGAAAGATGTTTCTTTAAGGACTACCATAAAGGGAACATTGTATACTAGAGTAGGTAGTATCTTTAATTATATCCATATAATAAATATGAAAGTGAATTGTCTTTCAAACCTAATTCATAATGACAAGTTGTGATTGAGTAAAATCAGTCACTTTGATGGGGTCTACAAAATGTATTTCCAAAGTTAGAAAATTGCCATAGGGCCATTTGAATTTAGCTGATTACATTGAACTTATATTCAAATATATTTCATGTTCTGAGTAGGACTTGAATAGAATTTAAAATAAAACCACACTAATGATAATTTTTTCTTATGTTTGCTGTAAAACAAAGGTCTATCCAAATGTAACAATAGGTATTTTTATTGAGCAACCAACCCCTTTCCTACCTCGCTTTCTGGACACATTACTGACCCTGGATTACCCAAAAGAAGCACTTAAAGTATTTATTCATAACAAAGTAAGTATTTGGTAAATGAATATTTATGTAAAATATATTTTTTATTTTCCTTGGAACAAGTTGTTACATTCTCTTTGTGTCTGAAAAAAGCCATGGGGTTAAATTACATAGGGGATTTGGGGAGTAATTACTTCCCTGCCTTTTTCAGACATAGGATAAGAGTCTAGAAACTAGTATCGTAATATTGGAATAAGCCTGATGAAATTGACAGTTTTTGTGGATCAGAAATGGTCAAATACCAGCCATTTTTTGTGGATCAACTTAATGTATAATAAAGAAATGGCAGAGGGCCTTATATTCCTGTACCTGGGTTAGTTCTGGCACTTCGATTTATAGAACCTGTCATTAATTGTTTGTAGTGCATGGTAATACCATAACATTAAAACTTGAAATATCTTCTGGGTAGAGTATTACTTGATTAATTGCACAATTGCATGCTCTTCCCCAAAGGATTTCATATTATCATTTCTTTCAGAAATATTCAGAGCCTCTCACACACCTCTCACATATACTATCAACTTGTCTCTTTTGTTTTAAAACAGTTGGTATTTAACATCATCAAGAAAAACTCCATAGCTGTGAAGTATGCCATTTTCTCTTTCTGTTTAAATACTTTATCTTTACCACTGTTCTTGTTTCCAAATGTACATTCCAGCTAATCATTTGCCTTTCCCGAAGAATGTTTTAAATTTACAGAAAACCAGCAAAAATAAGTTTTAAAGGGTGAATCATCATTGAGTATTTGCTTTGTAAAATGTGTTGTAGCATATATTCTTACATTAAAGTTTTTTTTATATACGGGGCTGGGCAAAAGTAGGTTTATAGTTGTGAATACCCGAAACAGAATTTATTTTTGTGTTATTATTAATTACCATATTATTTTCCATATGAACAATCTTAAGCTTAGTTTTGCCCCAGCCTGCATTGTATTTTTTTTTGTATTTTTCCTCCTTTCATAGGACCTAAAACTCTTTGATAGCAGAGATTTTTATCTTCTTTTATTTATAATTAGCTCTGTGTAGCCTTTATGTGATAAGTATTAACAAGCTGTGAAAAGTTTTTAAAAATGCTTAATGAGACTTATCACATATAAAGCTCTGAAATGCTCTGAGGGAGACAGATAATCTTAATTGAAGTTTTAGCACAATGTAACAAAACTAATTTGATGACTTTGTGTTAATCATTTTCCCATCAACAAAATTTTGTTACATACTGTTTTTCTAAAACCACAGTTTTGTATATGACCGTTCTGTTTTCTCTCTGGTGTCACAGATATTGTAATACTGGTATTTATTTTATAAAATTATTATTTATAACTTAGATTTGTAGCTATTGGATTTGATATGCATTTTTAATGGTTATTTTTCAACACATGTCTGTCATTCTCAGGCCGTAAGCCACATTCACACCCTTCTCCTGACCCCCAGTTCGAAACTCTTTGTAGTACCCAGGATTTAATTATTTATGTAATCACCTGTCTAGGAGTAAATGTTACAATATTAAAGTATCTTCTCTTTAAAAATACGACGAGTATGTGTCTGTTTTAGATTGTATATGTGACAGGTGATATTTAAATAAAACAAGTTTAATTTGGTCATTATTTTGTCTGTAGTTGTGTGAGGATATGAACTGTGGCATTGACCACTGTGAATGAGAACCCATCCCTACCTATGAGTCCTTCAGTCATCTTACTGTCATTTTGTTCACTGATTTTCTATTTTTAAAATATTTTACAGGAAGTTTATCATGAAAAGGACCTCAAGGTATTTTTTGATAAAGCTAAACATGAAATCAGTACTATAAAAATAGTAGGACCAGAAGAGAATCTAAGTCAAGCCGAAGCCAGAAACATGGGAATGTATGTTTTAATAAATTTGAACAATTTCTACTAAAAAAAAACTAACAAAAAAACCTTAAAAAATTTGTACCCTAACTTGAATGTCTCAGTTATATGTGTGTGCGTGTGAGTCATGCACACGTGTGGGCACCTTCTGCTGTTAGACCATCTGTATTTGTGTGTAAGGCGGGAGAAGTTATTTTCATTTTTATTTTAATGGCTAAGAGTCCATGTATGTATTTAACCAAGCTATTGAACTTAAGATCAAGATTAAAAAATGCTCAGACAAGTGTCTAGTATGACATATATAAGCAGTGATTTACATGTCTACTCTGTGAAGATTGTGAGTGCTGAAAATGAATGGTTTAGACTAAGGGGAAGGAGGATGTTTCTGCATTCTAGTTAGCTGCTGATACTGGAAGAAATATTTCAGGTCCTTTGTTTAACCATTTCAATACTTCTGAGAGATTACTAATAAAATTCTGGTAATAGTAAAAGCCATCCTTTACTCAGTAAATGGTAGTTGGATATTCTAGGCAGTCAGTTAATAACTTCTGATGAAGGGGTGAACAGTCATGGTGACTTCTTGTTTTGCTCTGTGAAAGCTGAGGGCTCAGCGTGCCTGTGCTGCTGAGTGTAGGGGGTAGGGGGATGTGAGGAAGCAGGTCTCTGGAAAACCAGACTGACGTCTTTACTAGTGGTTACAAACAATTTTTGAGAACCCTTGGGTTCGTATTCAAAACTTATTTTTTAAAATTATTGGTACAGTTTTAACTACTTTACCGCCTAGGCACTAGTTTGATGGTCAGTTAGAAACCAATGTGGTGTAGAATTACACACTGACAATAGCTGAAAGTGATAACTGGGAGCCTGGGAGGAAAGGACCTGAAGTGCAGACACCATGATATGGGAAGATTTTCATGTATCACTAATGGTTCATTCCATGGAGTCCTGATAAAACAGATTCTACCAAGAAAAGCAACATTATAGTCAGTGTCCTTGGTAAGAAACAAGGGAGTAGCAATCTTAGACAGAATCCCATGGAAATCAAGTTAAAAAAAAAAAGCTAATACCTAAAGTGGAATTGACCTATATCTGCAAGAGTCACTGACACCTGACTTGCTGGACAGCTGAGGTTTTGAAATGTGTGTGTGTGTGTGTGTGTGTGTGCGCGTGCGCGCACATGTGCATACATGTGTGCAAAAACATTTTGCTTTTTTTAAAAAAAAGTTGATAAATACATTGGGGTACGTTATTTTTCCCTTTCAGAGAGAATTTAATTATAAATTCTGCATTGCCATTCTGACATGTTTTACGTTCTAAAATATTTACTAGCTGAAAACATTTCACCTGGCCTAAAATTTTTGGTGTTGATATGCCAGTGAACATCTTTATGAAATTCAAAATAATACTTACCCTTTTGGATATTGTCTCATTATTTTGATTAGAAAACTATGTTAGAGAAGCTTTAATTTACATACAAGCTTTATATTAACATTTTTCAACAGCAAATATCTATTTTTTCTAATTTGTATTTCTTTTTCCCATGTCAGGGATTTTTGCCGTCAGGATGACAGCTGTGATTATTACTTTAGTGTGGATGCAGATGTTGTTTTGACAAATCCAAGAACTTTAAAGGTTTTGATTGAACAAAACAGGTACTATATAAAATTCAATGTCAATTTATATTTTAAACAATGATCATTTTCTTCCTTGGGTAGACACACTATAAAGATATCTGTGGGAGGAACAAATAGGAGGCAGCAAATTGAGGGAACCCACACTAAGTATTTTCTATACCTTGTAAACTTTCAATTCTAATTAGTTTTCTTTTAAAGGAGTCAAATAGAAAATAGTCTAATAAGAGGTAGAAGTATTTATTACTAGTTACAATCAGAAATGTGATATTTGTCAAAGTATATTTGCCTTATTTTTTCTATTTAAAGATAGGTGAAATTGTATCTGAGAGAAGTAAAATTTGGAATTTTTAAATTTTCTGTAGAACTTTTTATAAGATAAAATTTTTAAAGATTTTATTTATTTTTAGAGGGGAGAAAGGAAGGAGAAGGAGAGGGAAAGAAACATCAATGTGTGGTTACCCCTCAGGCACCTGGTACTGGGGACCTGGCCCACAACCCAGGCATGTGCCCTAGACTGGGAATCAAACTCGGGACACTTTGGTTTGCAGGCCAGCCCTCAATCAACTGAGCCACACCAGCCATTACTCTGTAGAGATTTTTAAGGTAGAATTTCATAAAACTTTTTACCTAAAAAGTTATTACAAAGAGAGTTGTAGTTCTTAGAAGCTGAAATTTCAGAGGTACGAATTTTTTCACAGCCAGATCTGTGGTTTTATTTAGTACTGAACTAATTATTACTGGTCTGTACCTGTTTTCATGCACTGAGTTGAAATGGGACAAAGACACCATCTATACCAGCTTATAATGACAGTAAATCTTCATTTATTAATGCTACTGCTACCACTAATAAGAGTATTATTAACACATGTACTAATGGCTCACCTTTAATAAGTGCTTATTAAGTGCCAGGGTTTTTCTAAATATATTTACATATATTAACACAATTATTTCTCATGACAGAATAGTTAGCAGTGAAATAGTACTGTTTTTATTTTACTGCATAAAATATGTGAGAAATTTATTATTCTCCATTAAACCACTCTATATATAAATGATTTGTCAATTTGAGATTCAGTTATTACTTCAAAATCTAAGACTTCTCAGTATTGATTTTTATATATAGCTCCACTATATAACTATGAATAGATACATACCTATCTAAGATAAGTATAAATTGCAGGTAATTTTTCAAATCATATGTATAAGGTTTTAATCATTATACAAGGAAAAGCAAATGAATAGAGTTGCAATTTGTAATTCTTAAAACCAGTGGAATTCAGTAATATTTTCTTGAAATTTCCATGTTAATTTTCTTCTAATTTGACTGAAATTTAATATTGTAATATACATATGCTTCTAATAATATTCAGATGTTTTTATTATATGACACATTAATTCTTATAGTGAGCTGTTAATGGATCCATACTCTTCATTTAACATATATCCCCCTTTAAAGTCAATCTAATATTTTAAACTTTTTAAAATATAAAATTTTGTTCATAAGATCCAGTAAAACTTTGGTTCTTTCTCCCATTTCATAAATTTCTATTAATTTCCCAATTAGATACACTACGGCAGTGTATCGTGTGAATCTAATCCTGTAGGTTCACACAATACTACATGTACCGTGGCACATAACTAAGCATGTAGTTTCTGCAGCTCATTTACATATACCAAGACTCTTGCAGATTCAGTGGACTTGCCCAAGGGCTAGAGGAGCAGGGGATGGGTCAAATCTTAGGGTAGGAGGCTTTCCAGTATTTCGTCTAGTCCCCTTTTCCCTCTCCTCCTCCTACCTCTGCAGTTTTCTGCCTTGCCCCAAATTTGACTCCTTCGGTGGTTTAGTGCACGTCATCACCCCCACCATTATTCTTGTATTTCCATTCTCAGAAACACTAGGCACAGCGCTCATGGATTTTGATTTTCAACATTTCTTTGCCTGACTATCTTTGGGAGGCAGCTGGGATTTTAATTTTTTTATATTACATATTTAATCTTGTCCATTATTGACATTGAATTATCATTTCTTAAGTAAACATAATATGTAGATTCTAATTTGTTATCTATGTGTCTTAAACAAATCCAAATATAAGTGTTTCTGGTTAACATTTCATTTTAATAGGAACCAGGAAAAATTAAACCAAGATCGTTATTTTGCATGTTGTGTATTTTGTAGACTAAGTCTCACTCTTCTGTGGGTAAGAGGAGGGGCACACCTGGTCTTCACAAGATCGGCGTGTTGTGGAACAGGTTTTTTTCGTGGAGAGTGGTTCAGCCATAAGCTTTCTCTTGGAGAAGTTTTGTGGGTTTTTCTTAAAAACTGAGATACCACTATAGTGTACTGTATTTAAGAAGCAATTCTAGAGGAAATTTAGATTTTGTTACCTAATTTGTAAAATGCTGACACATTAGATTTTCCTAAGAAGAAGTATGCCCTGTTTTGGATTTGTCACGTGTGATTATCTCAAAGAGACTGTTTCCTGGTGGGTGGAGTGCTCTGGCAGTTACTGTCTCTTTTGTCTTCTGAAATAGGTAGAGGACCAGACAAATGTTCCGTGATGCCTGGGTTAGCACTACCCATTTTCAAAGTTGTATGAAATGGAAACAAATGCTAAAGTGAGGCTTAACTTTAGGACAACTGGCTCCTTGACAGATATTTTAGCCCATCATCATTCTTTTCTTCGTTCAATGGATATTTATTGGATACCCGAATGCCCCAGGGATTATGATATTTCTCTAATGAGAGTGAAAATATTTGATTTTATATAGTACAGTTTCTGAAATAATTAAGGTAGTTTCACTTTTTGGACATAAGTAAGGGTCTTTTAAAAGTCCTTTTTATACTTTCATTCACATTTTGAGTTAGTTTTGTAGCCTTTTAAAGAAAGATCATTGAAAATCAGCAGTGTACTTATTTAAGAAACAATGTTGGGAAGAAATTTCTCTTAGTTTTTTGGACTAACTGCATGTGTGTTAAATGAACTTCATTGTTTTATGTGTCATGCAAAGTCCAGACATATAATTGTGTGGTTTTTAAGAAAAAATAGTTACCTGGATTTCTTTTTCTTTCACTTTAGAAAGATCATTGCTCCTCTTGTAACTCGCCATGGAAAGCTATGGTCCAACTTCTGGGGAGCACTTAGTCCTGATGGATATTATGCTCGATCTGAAGATTATGTGGACATTGTTCAAGGGAATAGAGTGTAAGTTACTTAATCTTTTTATGTAAAATACTGTGATATAGAGATGGGGTCTTATTAACATTAGTGGAGTTCTTTTTTTTTTTTTTTTTTTTTTACTATTTATCTTTTGCTTTCAATCTCACCTGAGGATATGTGTATTGATTTGGGGGTGGGAGGAAGAAAGAGAGAGAGAGAAACATCAGTGTGAGAGAAGCATTAGTGGTTGCCTCCCGTATATGCCCTGACCAAGGATCAAACCTATAATCTAGGTGTGTACCCTTACCCAGAATCAAACCCACAACCTTTTGGTGCATGAGATGACATTTCAATCAACTGAGCTACCTGGCCAGGGCATCTTTTTTATGTTTAATGGAAATTTGAAAATCTGAGGACCACTTGGGATCCTGAAATACTCATATAAACTAGTATTTTACAAAAAAAAGTTTTTAAAATTCTAAATCTTTAAAGGAGCAAACTCACTGTTGTAGGACATACTAAGAGATAATATATGGTTACCATGGATAGCAGTCTTATGATCAATTATTAGCAGAGTAATTATTCTTTAGTTAAAAGTGGCTGGGATGAAGATTGTTTTGATAGCTTTTAAAACTTACAAATGAGCAAATAAAAACAATTCTCTGCATCAGAACCTTCCAACACTTTCTATTGCAAAGTGTTTTCTGTCTAAAATAACTAATATTCTGCTTAAAGATCAATTTCCTCATCAGTATCTGATTTCAATTTCTAGAATTAGAAAAGAATATACTCGCTACTAAGTGTGTGCATAACTGATATTTATTTTTAAAAACAATAGTTGATATATTTTTTAAGATTTTATTTATTTTTAGAGAGAGGGGAAGGGAAGGAGAGAGGGAGAGAAATATCAATGTGTGGTTGCTTCTCATGCGTCCCCTGCTGGGAACTGGCCTGCAACCCAGGCATGTGCCCTGACTGGGAATCAAACCGCGATCCTTTGGTTCGCAGACCCACGCTCAATCCACTGAGCTACACCAGTCAGGGCTTAACAATAGTTGATATTTTTTAAACTAAAAAATGACCACTGAGGTAGTAGTTTTTTGCTAAGGTAATATCACGGAAGACTGCCATTCATTTTTTCATATGCATAACAGACCAGAGTGAATGAGACATTAAGTGCTTTGCCTGGTTTCTCATGTATATCAACCCAATTAAAAAGGGACAGCATTCTTTCATTACTAAAATATGTGCCCTTAAATTTAGAAAAAAATCACACACTTGTTCTACAGCTGAGTAGTAAAAAGATGTTTTGTTTGTGAAAATAGTAATAGTAAATTTGAGAGAGATAAATATGATAAAGGCTTTTATTAGCTGCAGTTAAGAAGCATGATAGCTGAGAAAACACTATTAAAATATATTCTGTTGTTTCAGAGTACTTATATTGTCTCTGGGATTATTTGTATCGACCATACGCCTGATATTGACTGTGGGTATAGTAGAAATAAGGGTTCACAGAAGTAGAATAGAGAATTCGTGTTTTATTTAAGTGCTGTAGGCACTGGTGATTTTTGTCCAGCCTTCTGTCATTGTCTAAAATGTGAAGGTCAGAACAAGGTAGAGGTTTCTGATCTAAAAACTACATGAAGGAATGACATCTTATAACCTGTATGTTTTCTTTCAAAATTGAAAGACTGTACACTCTGCCAGTGGTTAATTTCTTTTTTAATTGTATTTATTGTTCATGCTATTATGTGATCAATTTCTGAATTCAGATGACATAATATATACATTTTTGTAACCATTTCTCTTGAGTCTCATCTAGTAAGACAAAATGGCATCATATTCTTGTCACTATGTACATTTTTTGGTCAAGATCTTTCCTTTCTGTTCTCTGAAAGCTACAGGCATATATATTCCTTCAGGCAAATAATTTCTTACTCTGTTCTTAGGAAGGGAGCCTGTTCAGAGTGAGGAGATGGGTCTGTGGGAAGAATGATGGACAAAATATGTGCATCCTATGCTCTTCTGGCTACTTTTCTTCATCTTTTTTTTTTCCTACAAAAATTTGAGATGGCTTAGTGAATTTCAAGAGAATGTATTTTAGGAGAATTTTAGGCTATATTCAGTGGTGTGCTGGTAAATGTCTAACAGCTGGTTCTTGGGGTTGGAGAGTGTCCTGACTTGTAGTGTTTGCCAATTTCCATGGTGTAAATACTTCTACCATGGCTGATTTCAAGCTACTGATGTGAAGTCACACAGCATAGAAGTGAAAAGTTACGTTACAAGTCAGCTCTGGAGGGCCAGTGTAAACTAGCTGTAGCAAACCAGTTGTATGTCATTATTTTTTTTCTATCAAATTACTTAATCTTAAATGGAAATACCTTTTGTAAAATAAAATATCATACTCTAACTGTAACAACTAAGTGAGGGGCAACAGCCAAAATGTCAAACCGATATCAACTTTAAAATAAAATCTACTTAGGTAAGGTAGTGATTTCTGTCATAAAAATATAGTGTATGCTAAATAATCTCATTTAAATTATATGTATGTGTGTATATATGTCAGATATCATTAAATGTATTTGTATTTCCATGCAATTTGTTTTAATAATTTGGATAAAATTTGAAACATACAAGGTATTTATTTTTAAAACAAGAATAAAACTTTAAGTATTTTGTATTTGTGGTATTTTGGACTTTCTTCTCTTTACTTTCAGAGGGCTATGGAATGTCCCATACATGGCTAATGTGTACTTAATTAAAGGAAAGACTCTTCGATCGGAAATGAATGAAAGGAACTATTTTGTTCGGGATAGACTGGATCCTGACATGGCTTTTTGCCGAAATGCTAGAGAAATGGTGAGGATATGCTGATGGCTTAATGGATGCTGTCGGAAAATGGCTTGCTTCCCCAGTTGATGTGCAGTTGTCTCTTGATGTTCCTCTTCTTTCTGATTTGTAAATACTAGCCAATTTTTTTGGTTCTGTGTTAAAGAATTAGGAACAATTGTGGAAAATAATTAGTGAATGTTTACCTAGGAAACATTTGAAAAATTACGCTGGTGATTACACTAACTTATAAGCAACAATGGGATTCAGTAATCAGCATGGATTTGTTACAAATCAACTTCTCATTTTTTTTTTTAAATTCACCTTTACTTCTATTTGAAATTCTGTACTGAAAACTTGACCTAATTAAAACTAATTAGGTAAAGCATAGATGAAATGATCATTTACACAGTTAAGAATATACTTTTATCTGAAAATCAGTGTCTCCACACTCCTTACCACTAAACAGGGAGAAGGATTGAGGTATGGAGTATATTTCATCTATCCAAAAAATTAATGATACATTGTTATTCTACTTTCATTATATAACTTAAATGACTGTGGAAAAGAATTTATTTTTTCAAAGTGTATAAATATCTTTTAAAATGTATTTGTATGATTTTCTGTTTTAGAAAGGATTGAATTATTTTATTCAAATTTGTGTAAACAAATATAATTTTGGGAAGAATCAAAAGAGTTGGCAAGTATTTTTTTATTAATTTCATAAGGCATGTATTGTTTGAATATGTTCGTTTCTCCTACAAAACCTGTGTGCATTGTTTATATTGAATATTCTCAGTCTCTGTGATTGTAATTTGTGCTCATGTTTGGCTGATTTGACTCAACAGCGCATCCTGGAATGGCCTCTCTTACACATTTTTTTCTTTGTCTTGACTTTGTGTCTAATGGAAAGTCTACGGAATGAGCTTGGATTAATGTTTCATCAAAAAAAAAAGGCTGGAATGGTTTCTTTGTGTGCACTATAAGCTTTGCTTGTTCTGCATGTTTTCTATGAAGGACATTTCAGAATGTCAGCTTTTCATCAAGGGCTGCTATTTTATTACCTGAGAATTCCTGAGAGAGTGGGTGTGCCCATCAACTTACCTAATGCTTCTCTTCATTTTAGACTTTACAAAGGGAAAAAGACTCCCCTACTCCGGAAACATTCCAAATGCTCAGCCCCCCAAAGGTGTTATTTTTATTTCTTTTTATTTGTTTTTGTTGATTTAATTAATATAAGATATAGTGTACTGACTAACAGTAATGTTTTTTAAAGAGTCTTTCTATTTAGCTTGTTAAACTTTTGGTATTCATTGGTTTTGACTCTGCTTATGGGCTTGTAAGTTTTGTGTACTGGGGTTGGGCATTGCAGGATGTTCAGCTCTCAGGTCCTTGTGCTGATTTACATTTTATGTTGACAGATGAGAAAATGAAACCTAAATTAATCATTTCACTAGTTTTTGTTCTTTTTAAAGGAGAGAAGAAATAGGAGTATGCATAATATACTTCTCAGTAAAAATGAGATTTGCGCACTCTTCACAAATTTTTTGTATTATTAATAACTAACCCTTTTGCCATTAAAACAGGTACAAAAATGAAACAACCTTACTTTAGTGGTGTTGCCACATTTATCTGGTTTGGGACAGGGATATAAGACTAATTTTCTTTTTCTTATAATGTATGAGTAATATCTGTGTCTGGTTTTTCAATATTAGGACAATAAAATAACAAAATAGAGTGATGAAATAATATTAACATTTGAATTCTTGCTTAAAAATGTAATATATTCTTTGGAAGGGAAAGAAGCCAGAAGAGGTACAATCAATTCATTGAACTTGCATGTTTAAAAATACTTCTGCTTTCAAACAGGAATATTTTCCCCGATGTCCACCTCTAGGACCAAAGAGAAAGGGACACAAACAGTCCATTCTGCCGCTTCTGTTTTTCAGTTGAGTGTCAGTGCTGGCAGTTAGTTTCGTATGGTGGCTGGATTCATAATGAATCAAGATTTTATGTCTCTCATTTTCATGCATGCATGTTTTAGATGAAAAATAAAAATGCATGTTCATGAACAAAAATATAAAAGTTGAAATTAATGTTATATATTTTTGTATGGTTAACTGTACAAATAACTATACAATACACTAACTGTACAATAACTATTTTGTTATTGTTATTTTTTGACATATAGGGTGTATTTATGTACATTTCTAACAGACATGAATTTGGAAGACTACTATCAACTGCTAATTATAATACTTCCCATTATAACAATGACCTTTGGCAGATTTTTGAGAATCCTGTGGTATGTATTTCATACTCAACTTTACTTATTACTTACTTTCCTATAACTCTAAATAAATGAGAATAAATAGGGTTAAAAAGGGTAGAAAATATGGTAAGAGGCTTTAAAAGTTTTTTTTATTATATGATTTTTTAAAAAGCTATAATTAAATGTTTTATGTTCTTTAGAGTAGATCAAAACCTGACCAAGAACTTTTTAAAATTTAAATAAGACATGTATTGGCTTTGGGGAAGGGAATTAGCAGTTTTTTAAATTTCTCCCAGTATTTCTACTTATGTATTGTAAAATACTATCACATTTTTTATCACAATTTCATAAGCAATGCTTATAATAGCTAATATATGACAATAATACATTTTGATTTTCAGGAAGAAAATTCAAGTTAGATTGGGAAAATACATTTTATTTTATCATTTTTTAATATGTGAATGTGAATGCATACCAAAGATAGCCATACAAAAATGTAGAGTAAGTGGATTCAGCGTATAAAGAGAGTCTTAAGTTGAAGAAACTATTTCCTGTTAAAGTCTAAAATCATTTCTTTACAGAAAGATATAAATCATACAGGAACTAACTTTTTCTTTGTCTTAATGGGGCCTGTTCTTTTTAGTCAAGTCAGCACATTTATTTGGCGGGGGTGGGGGGTGGCGGGAAGTACTCTCTTCAATAATCATCTTTGTAATACTACTATTTATGGTTTCCCTAGCCAGTAGTAAAAGTTTTAAATGACAAAGACTCAATTCATCTTATCAGAATTCTGTTTATTTTGTAGGAGTAGTTGACATCTGCGAATAGTCAATTTAATGGCCTCTGAAATATCTGTTGAATAGAAAAAGAGTATATTTTGACATTTTTATGTTGTAAAAGTACCTTCAGTCTCTTTTAGCTGTGTATCTTCATCTTTCACAGGAGTAGACTGGAGAAGAAGCTTTTTTAAATGGTGAGGGTAGAATTACATATTTTACTTTAGCACTGGATGTCTTGTTATTTGAGAAAGAGAATTATTTGATTTCTTGGGTAATATTAGCTTCCTGGAAAAGTATTCCAAGTTATATCCTGAATTGTGGATGCTTATGTAAAAGTTCAAATCTTTGGAGAGTATGCAATGATACTATCACAAGGAAGTTTGGGACCGTTTTTCTTCCTGTGGCTTTATAAACTTCGTCATTTTGGAAATTAACCTTATGGATATGCCTTGTGGGTGATATACATAGCAAAATATTTCATGACTGTGATATGTATTTCATACTCAACTTTACTTATTACTTACTTTCCTATAACTAAATGGATGAAAATAAATAGGGTTAAAAATATGAAAATATGGCAAGAGGCTTTAAAAGTTTTTTTTAATTATATGACTTTTTAAAAGCTATAATTAAATGTTTTATGTTCTTTAGAGTAGATCAAAACCTGACCAAGAACTTTTTAAAATTTAAATAAGACATGTACTGGCTTTGGGGAAGGGAATTAGCAGTTTTCTTAATTTCTGATAAGTCCCACTATCAGACTTTCTAAGAAACTAGTAAGGTCACAGTTTGTTCAATGGTATTTGGTCTGAAATGAAAAATTAATGTAAAATTTTAGGGGTTTTATTTTAACTTTAAAAATCAGTAGTGATACATAAGAAAGAATATGGAAAGATTCTGAAATGTTTTGAATTATTATTTACTTCTAATTTCTTCTCATATTTGGGAGTCAGAAAACTAATCAATATTAGAGGGACCAATGACATAATATAATAATTTGATCCTTATAATTATGCATTACAAATAAAATTTATTAAAGAATTTGAAGATAGCTTTGCTTCTCTATATCAAAAATATCTGAGCTACATATAATCAGAGATGTACAAAACTGAGAATAGCATATAAATTATCGAGACTTCTCGAAACCTAGTCTCAAAAGGTACACTTCAAACAAATATTTTTGGAATATAATTTTGATTGGAATTACTTTATATCCATACCTCAGTTCTTGTCCGTTGGCTTCCTGTATTTGTACTGTGTAAAGAGAAAATTAAGAATTTTGTTAGACTGTCTAAATACTTTTCAGAAGAGGTCTTTTGCGATAAGAGATCACTTAATATTTTTATATATACCCTTTAAGTAATTGGGTTTTTAAATGAAACACTTGACCCAGGAAAAGGATTCCTTAGCTGATGTTGACAAATTTTGAGAGATTTTAGTGTGTGGTTGATGTGTCAGCAGTTGGTTAAAGAGAAGAATCAGGTTCATGAGTTAGCATGAAGAGGACCTATTTTTGGTTTTTTTTTTCTATTTTTGAATATATGGTCCTATATATTAATTTTAATAACTGAAGGAAATGAAGTGTTAGTAACTCTATTATCATTCATCAATACATATTAAAAACTGAATTGCAGGAAGAAATTTTAAATACATTTTAAATATTGAAATTATTTTAGAGGAATTCACTATAAAAGTATAAGACTCAAGTTGATTAATGCATTAATATTTACTAATATTTATTGATAGATTTTGTTCACTTTTAAACACATATTTATGTATCCTGTGTATATGCATATGATATAGCATATAAATCTAATCAGTGTGGGAGTACTCAAGTTTTGAAATTCTAAGGTACAAAGCTTCATAAATAAAAATTTTGTGTTTTGTAGAAAGATATGATCAAACACAGAAACAGGCAAATATTAAAAAACAGAAATGTGGTTTCTGAGAACTATTTTGTCTAAAACAAACAGTCATTTATAAGTTACTTGAGCAATTTTTAAAATGCATATACTTTATATTTTTATTACACTTTTTGTAAAAGTACTCACTTTAATCTGTGCAATTGATTTTTTTTGGTAGGACTGGAAGGAAAAGTACATAAACCGTGATTATTCAAAGATTTTCACTGAAAATATAGTTGAACAGGTTCGTATGAATAATTACTATGAGCCCTGACTGGTGTGGCTTAGCTGACTGAGCACCGTCTAGCAAAGCTTGTTGAATTCCCAGTCCGGGCGCATGTCTGGGTTTGGGTTCCGTCCCAGTCAGGACACGTACAAGAGGCAACTGATTGGCATTTCTTCCCTTTTTTCTCCCTCCCTTCCCCTTGCTCTAAAGGTAAAACAATGAGTAAAAAAAATTACTATGATTTATAGAGTATTTTTGTTATATATTTTCCAGAAGGGCAAATTATTACTACAATACTGCTTTAGCAGAGGATGTTGTGAAAGAGGAGAAACTATTCTAATTTAGGTGAAATTCAAATGGCTTAATTCCTAATTTTATAGCCTTGAGGATCATCATGTAGCTGTAAAACTGTAGAATGTGGCGATGAACCAAAAATGTAAGGTCATGGGTTTTTTAAAGTGAGCTCTCAATGTCATAGCTTTTTCAAACCACTAAAGATAAGGGGCCCTTGGCAGATCTTCAGTGACAGGTGACCTTCGAAAGAAATTGGGCCCCAAGACTCTCTTCTCAGAGGTGGTTTTTACAGATGAACTGTTTTAGGTTAGTGTTCTAAACTATTGCTAATACTTTGTATCAGAGAGTGTAAGGCATCTTTGATTCTGAGATAAGTCGTTTTGTTACTGTGAGAAAGGAAGAAAATTCTGCCAATTAAACTATAACAGACTGTCTTCTAGTCATTTAGAATTTTTTATTTTACACATTTAAAGGCTTATTTTAGACCTACTAAGGCATAGATGTTACATGTTCTGGGGTACTGTATATACAATAATTTTTTGTTTCTGTTGCAAATTATAGTGTAAATCATGTAAAAAGACATTTTAAACACTTCATTTCAGAAAATGCAGTACCAGCTAAATACATGTATGTATACAGACAGACACATACACACAACACGTACATGTAGGATAAGGACAGAATGGATGTTCGACCAAGCACTGTGGCATTAAAACTGCATCGCAGTGGCTGCTTGGCTTTAAGACATGTTGATTTCACTGATGTTAAAATATTTTTTAAAAAATTTCTGAATGAGTTAAAAAAACCCCAAACTAGTGTTATTTATAATACAATAATAATGCCAATAGTATGGGACAAACTTCTTAAAAAGTACATCTACGAGAGAATACATATCGACTATTCTGTCCTATTCACTTTGAAATGCTCATTATTAGTTAAAAGGCACAAAATGTTACTTTCTTAATGGTAACGCTGTGTTTTATAGCCTTGTCCAGATGTCTTTTGGTTTCCAATATTTTCTGAAAAAGCCTGTGATGAGCTGGTGGAAGAAATGGAGCATTATGGCCAGTGGTCTGGAGGGAAGCATCATGTAAGTTGGAATTTCACATGGAAACATAAAATGTGTTTGTGGGGTGGGAGCAGGGGAAGATATTTAGAGAACTCAGAGCTGAGTACAACTCTGAGTAGACTGAAATGGATGAGCTAGCGAAGACTCTCAGGAAAGCTATTTTTAAGTGTAATTTTGCTACTAATTAGTGTTTAACATTTGATCTGTCTGGGGCCCAGTTTCTCATTTACTCATGTAATTACACTGGATGTTCCAGTGTCCCTGGGCTAGAAATGTTAAGGTAATGTATGTCTTTACTCTGTGATGTTCTTCAAGGTTTCTTTTTGTTCTAAATGCTAGGTTTATCCAGTTGATTTTGTAAGCTATTTTTTTTTTTACAAAATGTAAAAAGGAAGATTCTGTTTAAATGCCATTAGTGTAGAAAAGACTTGGCAGGGAGTCTTCCTCTCAGTGGTTCAGTGTTTTTCCTTCCTTCCGAGAACTCACACATGCCAGCTCCATGTACTGAGAAATTTAGGTGGAAACTGTTGGATATTACTGCCTCTGCTTAAGTAGTTAGCTGAGCAGGGAGATAGGAGTTCAAAGAATGATGGAGAACTTGAAGTCAGCACTTTACAGGCAGAATAATAAGAACCTATCGTGGAAGGACTTTGCGTTCTGCAAAGTAGATGTGAGGAACAGAGCAGGGAAAGCTCATTTTGGTGGTTGGTAATCCAGAGGATCTTTGCCCATCAAGTAGCTAAGACTGCCCAAAGGATAACTGTAAAAAACTCATTTTTATGGGGATTTGGGAAGGCTTTGGAAATTACTTTTATCTACTTTGTAGTCAGACCTCACATACACATTTGTAAAAAATAATACGTTGAATAAATGGAGCCACTTTAAAATGGAGTTGGAGCTGCCATCCCAGAGCCTTGCACATCTTACTTCTTAAATCTTTAAAATGTTGAAACAGGGCAAAAGGGCCCTGGACTTGACCTCAGAGCGGCATTGTCTCCCAAACAACTATGTGCAAAGATGACAAGAAAGACAATACTATGACTACCTGCACTGAAAATGAAAAACATTGCTTAGTGTTAGCAACACTGTGCTGGCTTATCTGTTCCTATGGGAACATCTTCCTTCTATTGGTGTAGTTGTTCCCCTTCCCTTCATCATAAATACCCCTTGTCTTTGCCTCCTAATGTGAACACTCTGGGTTTCTGCCTGCATCAGTGCTTTCTGAATAGCTATTCTTTGGCATGTCAAATAAATACTTTTTGCCTCTTATTTTGGCCTTTTAATTCTGGGTTAACACATTAAATAAGTTGGAAAGGAGTCTACTGACTCTACAGTGTTTTGCTTCATTGATATACTTGCAAAGCCATGTTACCTTCATTTTTTTATAGTTTTGCAGTTGAAGTAGATGATGTGCCATAATTGCACTATTCATTTTTTTGTTCATAATGGTCTTGGGGTTGAAAAGAATACCAAGGTAGTGTAAATGTGGATTGCTCATGGACCACACTTTATGATGTCATTATGCTTTCTTTAGGATAGCCGTATATCTGGTGGTTATGAAAATGTCCCAACTGATGATATCCACATGAAGCAAGTTGATCTGGAGAACGTATGGCTTCATTTCATCCGGGAGTTTATTGCACCGGTTACACTGAAAGTCTTTGCAGGCTATTATACGAAGGTAGTTATTCTCCCGTTTGTCCTGCCTACCTTCTACTAGTTTTTACACAAATACTCTATTTTATGTTTTTATTAATACAAACCCATTTGTCCACCTTGCCGTTTAGGGGTTTGCATTATTGAATTTTGTGGTAAAATACTCCCCGGATAGACAGCGTTCTCTTCGTCCTCATCATGATGCTTCTACGTTTACCATCAACATTGCACTCAATAGCGTGGGAGAAGATTTTCAGGCAATTATGGCTTTTATTTTTTACATTTCTCAAATATGTCATTACAAAAAGGCCTTCATCCTTTTTTTAAAAGATTCTGCTTTGTGGCATAATTTGAATTTGCTACCGATAAAAAGAATGAAACATAATGGGCTAATACATTGATTTGTTCTATTTCTTTTAGGGAGGTGGATGCAAGTTTTTAAGGTACAATTGCTCTATTGAATCACCCAGAAAGGGCTGGAGCTTCATGCATCCAGGGAGACTCACGCATCTGCATGAAGGACTTCCTGTTAAAAATGGAACGAGATACATTGCAGTGTCGTTTATAGACCCCTAAGTTATTCACTCTCTTTTGAATCGTTGTTTTTTTTGGAATGGTTGACTGGCATGAACATATATGAAGTTGTGCTTGAGAAGATGAGAGGAATATTTAAGTAACTTCAACAGAACAACTTCACTTTGGGCCAAACATTTGAAAAACTTTATAAAAAATTGTTTGATATATCCTAATGTCTGCTCTGAGCCTTAAAACACAGATCGAAGAAGAAAAGAAAGAAAAAGCTAAAGTGAATATTTATTTCTTTGCCTTATTGTCTCTGAGAATAATGACAGTTTCCTGAATTTTTGTTTCAGTTGATGAAATATTCAGGTACAAATGTACAAATGACAAGTGAGACTAATAATATTTTCTTATTTAACAAAGCCTGGGAAGAATTTTATTTAACAACATTTAGATAAAATGGAAATAAATGAAAATTGGCAATTTTTGAAATGTTGGAAAACTGGAATTCTAACGGAATTTGTGTGCAGTTAATGTGTAAGTACTTTTTTGACCTCCTATGTAGGGATGTTTTATGGTAGTTCCTGACGGAATACAAAGAACAGTATTACACAATGTTTTCCCCTAAGAACTTAGTGCAAAATACAATGAATTGCATATCCGGTTGAAAACATTTTTGTTTAGATTCTTGGACAGATTTTTTATATTTGTATTAGAAATAAAGCCCTGTGTTCATTCCTTCAGATGAATTTTCCAAGGTAGATTATATTAAGTAGATATTAGAAAAGCTTTCAAACTTTCAATTCCTTAAGTATTGACTAAGATCATTAAGTGTCCTTATGTCGGGGAAGGTGGTTTTTCTTTAATTCTAGAAAATTATAAAGATACATTTTTCTTGGAGATGAGTAGCAGCATTTTATTATTTAAAAAGATTTTTAAAGTACTTGAATTTTATATCAGGAGAATAAGTTAGCAAGTCTCTCTTCCCTTTTCCCTCTGCCTCCCTCCTCACTCTCTTTTTAGGGAGGGTTGTTCACTTTTTTTTGTCTTCCCAGCATAGTCTTTATTTTATCTTTCTTACTTTTTTTATTAGCTTTTTAAAATCCCACTTTGAAATAATTTCCCTACGCAAAACAATTTGTGCCTTGATTTTCACTAATTCTCTCAGTGAGGTTTAAATAGCCTTCTTGTAGCTACTGTTTTTAATTTATAGGTTAAACTTGAAAGAAGTTCTGAGTCATGGTGCCAAAATTCATATTTCTAACACCATGTGTTAGAAAATTATGAAAAATAAAATAATTTAAAATAAGTTTTTGTTGTTTGCTTCATTATTGGTGATTTATCTTAAAAAGAGAATTAGCCTTAGCCAGGTGGCTCATTTGATTGGAGTGTTGTCCCATACAGAGAAAGGTTGCAGGTTCGATTCCTGATTTGGGCACATACCTGGGTGGGTTTGATCCCTTGGTCTGCACTCAGATGAGAGGCAACCAATCAATGTTTCTCTCTCACACTGATGTTTTTCTCTCTCTACCCGCTCCTCTCTCTTTAAAATCAATCAACATATCCTCAGGTGAGGATTAAAAAAAAGAAGAAGGGAATTATAATGGAGTAGGCTGAATATCTGGATAAAATAAGCTATGATTTCTTTTACATTTTGCTTGGTATATTTCCTGGTATCATATCTTTTTTTTTTTAAGTTTTTAAAAAATATTTTATTTATTTATTTTTAGACAGAGGGGAAGGGAGGGAGAAAGAAAGGGAGAGAAACATCAATGTGTGGGTGCCTCTTACGTGCCCTCACTGGGGGACTCAGCCTATAACCGAAGTATGTACCCTGACTGGGAATTGAACCAGCAACCCTTTGGTTCGCAGGCTGGTGTGCAGTCCACTGAGCCACACCAGCCAGGGCCCTGGTATCATATCTTAATGAAAACTGGAATTATACGTAGAATTAATATCTTCTGTCTTAAAGTGACTGGAAATTTATCTGACTTATTTTACAAGTAAGGAAGTGGAAATACATGTATTACATTATTGATTTTACTCGCAATTTTATTCAATATAAAATCACTTTAGTAGTGATTTTCAAGTTTCTACGGTGGGCCCGGCACTGTTAGTAGGTGTTGAGGATGTGGTGATGAACAAGATGTTATAATTACTGGGAGATGGGTTCAGGAGATAAGGAAGTGCCGCTCTACGTCTTTTCTCCTCTTCAGTGGCACTTCATACCCAGAGTAAATTCCTACTGTCCGTCCAGTTGTTGGTAGAGAAGACATTTTAATAATGTGGTTTATATTTAGTATATTTCAGGGGTGGTATTCCATATACGTAACAGCTGGTATGTCATGGATGCCACCAGTAGGAACAGACTCTTACTGTAAAAGTGGAGTTCTACCAGTGGGAGCCAGCTCACTGTCCCTTATTGTCATCTCAGAGGAGTGACGTCTACAGAATCCTAGTTTGTCTCGGTTGTGGTGTACATGCGTGCTGACCTAGAGTAACTATATTTAACCATGTGCCATGTTTCCAGAAATCAGATTGAACACACTCCGATGTCCCTATCGTCCCTATCTCAGAGTTCATGAAATGTTGTATGTACTTTTTAAAAGAAAAATTCATGATGAGTGAGGAAAAGTATGAGAAATTCCTATCAGTAGGTCAGAAAGGTGAAAGATGGAAAACGATCAGGTTTGTATGGATGGAGAAAGCAGCAGCTAGAAACATGCTAAGCTCTGGCAGTTATTAGTCTGTCCTGAGTTCATGTTTTTTAGAATCTACATCAAAGTGAGAGCATACAGTGTTAGCCTTGTCTGACTTATTTCACTTAACTCCCTCAAAGCTCATCTATATTGTCGCAAGTGTCAGTGTTTCCTTCTTTTTTATGGTTGACAAATACTCCATTTTGTGTGTCTTTGTCTGTGGGTGTAACTTCTTCATCAAGTCACCTGTCCATGGATATTTAGGTTGTTACCATGTCTTGGTTATTATAAATAATGCTGTAATTAACATAGGGTTGCAGATGTCTTTTTGAGATAATGATTTTGTTTTCTTTAGGTCCCCAAAAGTAGAATTCCTAGATTATATCATTGCTATTTTTTTATTTTTGAGGAAATGAATTCTTTTTTCTAGGGAAATAATTTGCATATTGCTGTTTAGCTTAAAAAGAGTAGAACGAGAATTCCCATAACTAATTTAATTGGATAAGTAAAGTATATTAATGTCGAAGGTAACCAGTTATGTTTGCACATGTGTGCATGTGCTTGGGCACATTACCGAAGGCTTTAAACGCTCATCATGGCAGCAGTTTGTTTCTAATTCCTAATGTGCATAGGAATCAGCATAAGTGTTTTCCCCTCACATGGATTCTTTAGTAGTGGTCTAGTATATTAGTTTTTCCCATTAGGCTTTAGTTTTGGGAAAAAAAAAGCCCTGGTAATTTACCTTTATTGGTCACTTACCTAAGAGATCAAATTTTACCTCTCTACAGAATAAAAATAGGGAAAACAATACCTCAGTGGATTGAGTGCAGGCCTGTGAACCAAAAGGTCACTGGTTTGATTCCCAGCCAGGGCACATGTTTGGGTTGTGGGCCAGGTCCCCGTTAGCGGCTTGTGAGAGGCAATTGATCGACGTATCTCTCCCTTTCTTTTTCTGTCCTCTCCCCACTCTAAAAATAAGTAAATAGATAAAGTCTTTAAAAAAATGGAAAACAACATGTGAATTGAGTAGTCCATCCTAATGACAGACTTTATATATTTCTTTACTACTATCTTCCTGTCTCTCACATGCACTGAATTTTCCTGCTCATTAAGCCCTAAAGCCCATCTTATGTGACATGTTGGGGACCTGACATTCTTTTGGAATGTGGAGCAGTCTGTCCAGAAGCTCTGTTCAAGTTGCAGGAAAACCAAATAAAACTTTTAGTCAGAGTTTGGAAGTCAGTTTCAGTAAATACCTCTCTTTGACTAGATGTTGACTATTTTTGGAAAATTAAAGTCTTTCAGACTTTATGAAAGCAGCCTTTGTCAAATAAGACTGTGTACCTTTGGTCTTTTAGAATAGCAAGACTTTCTCTTTTTTTAAAGGATAACTGACTTCTTTTAGAAAAACACTTTGTTAAGAAAAAGCCAAAGGTAAGAAAAAGCAGGCATATGTATGAAGTTATTTAATGAAAGCAGCAAATTCTGGATTAAATTTGAAGAGAAATAAACTAAAAATAAGTAATGAAAGCAGTAGGAAAAATACATGTAGACATGCTTTAAAAATGCAGGTACTACATAGATAAATTATTCTAATAAAAGGAATTAGAAAAATTGGATAGGTAAATATACATACTAGGGATTTGTGGACTTTATAAATCTTAAATCTTCCTGAGAGGTTTTAAAAATTAAAGATTAATTTTAAATTATATTTTTGTCTTTACTCTTTTTTAAATTTAATTATTGTTCAAGTACAGTTTTCTGTCTTTTATTCCCATCCCAGCCCACCCCCCCAGTTCTCCCCACCTCCCTCCATTTCTTCCCCCCTAGTTGCTGTCCATGTGTCCTTTATACTAGTTCCTGTGAATCCTTCCCCCTTTCCCCTGAAATTCCCTCCCCTCTCCCTCTGGTCACTGTCAGCCTGTTCTGTATTTCAGTGTCTTTGGTTATATTTTGCTTGTTTGTTTTGTTGTTTAGGTTCCTGTTAAAGGTGAGATCATATGGTATTTGTCTTTCACCACCTGACTTATTTCACTCAGCATAATGCTTTCGAGTTCCATCCATGCTGTTGCAAAGGGTGGGAGCTCCTTCTTTCTTTCTGCTACACAACACTGAAGAAAGTAATCAAGGAAGACACAAACAAATGGAAACATATACCGTGTTCATGGATTGGAAGAATTAATATCATGAAAATGTCCATATTACCCAAAGCAATTTACTGATTCAATGCAATACCTATTAAAGTACCAATGGAATATTTCACAGACACAGAACAAACACTTCCAAAACTTATATGGAACCATACATGACCCAGAATAGCAGTTGCAATTTTGAGAAAGAAGAACAAAGTAGGAGGGATCACAATACCTGATACCAAACTGTCTTTTAATATATTAAAATAGATTAGAAAATACTCATTTGGAAAAGTAGGTTTTGTTGCTTTTTGAGGTAGTGGTATTTAATTTTTATTATTTTGATAAATCAAGTAACAGTGATTATTTTTACATGCTGTTTTGTCTTTCCTGAGAAATGGCTGACTAAAAAATATGAATATGCATGCTCTTCTGAAAGTTAGAAAGGAATTTCTGCCTATTTATAATACAAAACACAAGTAGTCAACTTAAATAATAGTTTTAATAAATGAAATGGAACAGATTATGCATGCCATAAATAAGAAAATGCTTTTCTTTGAAAACATCCTCAACCAAAGGAAATATTAGTCTACAAAAGAAAAAAGGAGTAGAGAAGAACATTTTTATGTTGATTTGTAATGAGTGAACTCTTTAATTATAAAATAATTTTAAACATTAATTTTAAAAGACATTCTTAACAATAATTTATGTTCAGTAACTTTTTCTTCAGGAATGTTATTGTGAAGTGGTAGAAAGAATCTTTAAGGAAATCACACTGTGTTGTATAATTCTGCACCTACTCAGGAGAATTTTACATTTTGACAAAGCTCAATAACTTCCAAGTGAGAAATGGGTAAATTAAAGCATATTTTTCTTCTTCTGAGCATTAGTGGTTAGGTAATAGATTAATTCAAAAAAATACATATTTGGAAAATGACATTATCCTATTAAACTATTAAATTATTTTCATCCGTGTTTGCATAGTTTATGTATTTACAAATCTTGCCAAATTTTGCCATCTCCGGCTTACCTTGTGGCTACTGTAGATGACTACTGTGCTCTAAATTTTCAGTGAAAAGAGAGAGTTTTACATTAAAAAAAAAAGTCATGCTTTCAAAATTTTTTTTAAAGGCTATAATATAAAAGAAACATTAGATCAGATAATTTTTTCAGAATTTTTTTGTGGTATCCAATACATAATTTTGAAAGGAGGAATTGGGACACCTTATTCTGAAATAAGATAGCTACTGTGTTTACAGTTCATACTGCTGAAGTAATTTGTTCACTGTTTTTTATGTACTATGTAAATTGCTAATTTATATTCCCTAGGGAATATGGGCCTGGACTCATACTAAAGTTAGTGTGGAAGTGGCCAGACTCAGTTACAACGGACCCAGTAATTGGTTTTAAGCGAACAAGAGAATTT